TGGAGAAAATTTGAAGGCCAACCTTTTGGATTTTATTAGATGTTATAAAGTTGACAATTTCGTGTCTGCAAATGCATTTTCATAGATGTACTCTACAGTAGGTGGTAAGATGTATAGTGATGCATTGCCTTTCTGATGGGTATGGTGATTGCTTGTCCCAATGTAAAAATTACTTCCCCACACTGCAGAAAAACATTGGCTATGATTTTGAACTTGCATGATTTTAAATGAATGTGTTAACAATTGATGTTTTAACAAATTGTTTTAATTGTAATTATTATTTATAAATCTGTGTGATGGCATTGAATGGCTTCTTGTTGTGAAGCCACTCTGAGTACATATATATATCATGAAGTTCCTTTTTTGCAGTTGTTGAGAGGGAATGCTTCCTACCCTTGTTGGTGATTTTATTGTTTTTACACTTCTGGCAGTATACATATTATTTTTGTTTGTCTGGAGCTTTGTCTACCACTTGGAAATTGGGCTCTCTCTCCCATTTAGGGTGGAAAGAATGACCTGACTTCCAGCAATACCCTGCCTATGAGAAGTGTGGCAGGGGGCTGGGTGGCAAGCCCAAACTTAAGGAATCCCTCCCCAAAACTGCAGAATAGGAGCCTTCATCCTAAGCATCAAGGTCTCCAGCTCTGCCTGTTTGGACTTTACTATAATTAAAGAATTAGAAATCAATGTGACTGGAAATTGATTAAAGAGACTTCTACACAGATACAGATTAGTTGACAGATAGCAAATAACCTTCTTGCCTGTTTCAACATTCTAAAAGTAGCATTCATCCTATAAGAAATAATCTGTTAAATAAGCAGTATTGCAATAAAATCAAATTAGATCAGGTTTTTAAATGTAGTTAAAACATAATTAAATTAAAAAACAGAAATTTAAATGCAAAGCAGCAGAGAGAAACTAATCCCAGCATGCCAAATGTCTTTTTAAATAGAAAGCTTTTTTCCCTGTTGGAGAGAGATTGTCATAAGGGAGTTAAACAAGCTTCCCTCAGTAGGAATTTCAAAAGTCTGGTAGTCGCTGCTGATATATTCTCCTAAGTGTTTTTCAAATGCATTCTAGGTGTTGACTGTGCAGGAAGAAATGTCTCTGGGGGAATCTCAGCACTTCAGTGGGCTCAAATGGGAGAAGGCAGTCCTCAGGACTGAAGTAGTCTGTCCTAGCCACTGAGATTTTCTTTAGCAATACTCTAAAATATGTTCAGAATAGGCTATTGTTGCTGCTTTAACCAAGGAGTCATGTTCTTTCTACAGCCAGCTCCAGTTGACGTCCTGATTACAGCATTCTTAATTGTGAAGTGTTCACAACGTTTCCTAAGGAGAATGTTGTAACGGTAATGCTGTGAGATGTAGCCAAATCATGCTTCACTATGTCGAGATCTAACACCTCTAGAAGTGGCACAATCCTGACAACTTCCTAAACTTGGGCATTATTATTCTAGCTCAGAATCCAACAGTATCACCAAATTGTGTCTATTATTTTTCAAGGGGACTGAAACCCTGCCGGAAATATCTTTACTTCCAATTGCCTGCCCATTTTAGGTACTTTTGGCATGTCTGGGTGAAGTTATTTTTCATCATTCAGTCTGTTTCCAGTCCTAAGCTATGCAATTAGATGACCAACAGTTTTGTTGGAATGGAAAGATAAACTTGGTTGTGATCTTTATACTGAAGGCACTGATGTTGATATAGTCAGATATTTCCCAATTATTTCCTGTAGGTAATAGTTCAAGTTCAAGTTTTATTTGATGCTTAGACCATAGGTCTTTTACATATAGGCAAACAAATAAATACACGAAAACCAGATTATTAAAAACAATATAAAATACATAATTAAAATCCTATATAAATCATTAAAATGCTACATAGGTGATAAATAACAGAGCAAATCTTCACAGGACAAGAGAAGCCAGGAAAGACCAACTTTCCCCCACATCATTTTTGTAACTGTCTCTCCAAGAAGGATTTGGGATTATGTTAAAACAGTGCTACCCAGAAAGACACAATGTTGTTATTCCAAAAAAATCATTCAACCTGTAGCCAACAGCTGTCAAGACAGCATACAATAAAAGCAATAAGTAAAAACCCACAAGTAAACAAAAATACAAAAGCAGTACTGTACAGTAAAACAAAACAAGTGAAACTAAAATCAAACTGACATCAGCATCACAGAGCTATACGACATATGTAGGTTTTATTAACAAATAGAACATAATAAAACATAATAGCTTAGTAAAACATTCCCGCTTCACCCAGCATCAGTTGATATAAACAAAAGTAATCTGTCTCCAAGGGAGCAGTTCAGAACACTCTATTTCCAAATTCTTAAGTGGCTGATGGTGTGATGTACTATGTACTAAGGCCTTCAATCTGGGGGTCAGAAGCTCTCCTTTATGGCCACTTGAAAGGGATGGCACTTCAGTTCCAAACATAAGACAAATCAGAAATTGTGGTATTTTGAGTTAAAATGGCTAGCCACTGGTTATCCAAATTTCCTAGCCAGGAATGCAGAGATATTTCCCTGAATGCATTTCCCTGAATGCAGAGATATTTCCCATGTATGCAGCTTTGTGGTGATTTTCTCCGCATAATGAAGATGGTATACAATTACATCCAGTCATATAAATAAGATTTCAGGATTGACAAGCAATATTTTCTTAATTTAAGATTCTGTCTCCATGCTCCTGATAAGCAGTTGTCTTCATAAGCTGAGTCCAGTGAATGCCTTGTTTGAAATCACAAGGGCATGACCCAGGATTGTTGACTGGTTTTCCAGAACAAGCTTTACCAGTGCTCTCCAGGAGTGAAACACTAAGATCAGGACCTCTAGCAACCATTTGACATTGTTGGCAGCATATAGGAAGAAGTGGTTCTTCAGTTATTTTGAGCACAGTAGAGTCACGGAATGGCTTCTCAATTAGGGATAGCATTCTTAATTGAATCCAGAAACTAACCAGGAATCGATGAAGATGGTACAGAATTTGTGTAAGATATTCAAGATGTGTGGTTCCAATCAAATACCTTTGCAGTTGTATTTTGTATTAAACTTGGGGCCTGCCTTAAAATGAATGCCATGTACAACACATTGCAGTTATCTAAATAGGAAATTAAAATGGCATTGATCACTGAAGCTGAGCTGTCTGTCCAAATAGCAAGTAAAAGTTGGACCATGCCAAGGAGATGAATGCCTCCTGCAAGACTCTGCAAAACTGTCAAGGTCCATGCTTGATTGTCGTAGCATCTTCCAAAAAACCACATACCCACTGGTAGACATGCCACTGAGAGTACTTCCCATTTTGCTTATGTTGACTACATTTCACTGGCCCTCATCCAGTCTTATTACTGTGCTCAGGCACAGACTAAGTGCTCCCACTGCCTGAACTGAATCAGATTGAAAAAGGAAAAGGCACTGGCCTCTAGACTGCATATCTGAGTGATGCTCATCTAGTGGTGTCACCCAATAGTAGATATTACTAGTAGTGAATAACGAAGGGGATAAGCTGGATCTTGAGGGCATGCCTAAATCATATCTGCCATAGAACCAAATGTCTTCCCCTTTTGGAAACAGTCCTCCCAGTTCATGCTGAATCATTTTAAAGCTCTATCATCCATTGGATTACCTTAGTTATATCATTCCTTAAACACAACATTCCCCTGTCAATATTTTGTTAAAGAATTGAGTTGGTGAAATAACTCAGCACTTTGGACATAAATGTCTGAAAAGAGAGATTGCCCCTCTTACTGGGCAGATTGAAATTGTAAGAGATATGGTGAGACATTCCTAGTAATTTCTGATCAGCATCTGTTGTTGAGATTCCTGCCAAAAGTTACTTAGTTCTGGAATGTTTACACTGGTGCAAGAGCCATATCTGTGAATTGTAGAAACCATAAAGCAAAGAGAAAAAAAACAGTGTTTCAAAGGTTGTAGCTACTCTGGCAGCATAATCCAGGCCAGTCTAGAGCATTATGCTCCAGATAAGCTCCATATTGATACTGATGGTGGCCACATGTACTGAGATGAATTATCTGTATGCTTTGTAGGTGTCTACATGTTCCACCTGTGCCAAGAATACATTAACTCCATTGACCTGTCCTTTTGTCCTCATGTCACTGTCATTGCTATTTGCAGACCAAGGAGCCCTATAAGAGCATGGCTATTGCAGTTGTTTCTGCTGAGGTCATAATGGGGCACATGTACAGCAGTGCCTTTCTTGCTAATTGCATTGGCACCCCGTTACGACCTCAACAGATACAATTGCAATGGCCAGGTTCTCATAGGGAACTAAATCCATGGCTGTCAAGGAGCAATGGCAGGGGCATGTGGTCAATTTATCCCCTTCCCTGCATTGGTCATTGTAGGAGAAGAGTGATGGTGGCAGTGTGCATGTGGACAATGAATTGGACCAAACTTATCCAGCTATGCACTGTCCAAGGACATTCTCAGTGGTGAGTTTCCTGCCAAATCTGGGATATCATCCAACTATGCTTACTGGGAAACAAGGTTGGGTTAAGGGCTAAAAGGTATGGATTTTTACCAGAAATTGTCCTGCTTCATGAAGACTGTCAATGCCGGCTTCAGGATGAGTATAGTTTTTTTAAAAACCCTGTGAAGACACTATGTAAAGTGTGTTTACTATAGGAAACTATCCACTATTTATACAGAATGCAGAACAAGGAAGTAATTTGTCTGATCTAGCAGGATTCTTACAAAGTTTAGGGGCTGATGAAGGGCATTTTGGAGTAAAAAAATATTAGGGGGTATGTATATCATTTCTGGATTTTTAATTGCCCAGGTGGGGCCACACAGCTTGCAAGTCACACCTTCCGCACTCTTCATATAAAATGAATCTATATAAAACATAAAAGGGGTTTTGTCCTTGATCCTACAGTAGTATTTGTGTTTATAATATTTATGAATGGCAAAGGTTGGGTTCAATTTTGGAAAAAAGTTTTAATTTCCTTTGTTTCTTTCTTTTGTTTCAGTCTACTCCATTACATTTGGCTGCGGGATATAACAGAGTTCGGATAGTTCAGTTGTTGCTTCAGCATGGTGCTGATGTCCATGCCAAGGACAAGGGGTATGTGATGTTCTTTAATAAGTTCCTGGCTTTAGTAGGTGTGGTGTGCTGGATAACTACAGGAAAATTGATCTTTTTAATAGTGGCACTTTACTGTTGCTTTCTAAAAAAAATTTTGTTAAAGATAAATACTTTTTAAAAATTCACTTGGCTTAAATGCTGTAAATTTTAAGTCTGTTTTAGTTTTGCTAACTGTTTCTTAATGTGTTATATTATATATCTTAGGGGTTTTTTTATTTTGTGAGTCACACAAAGAACTTTCTGTTAAAGAGGGCTTAAAATAACATTTATAAATTAATAATAGTGATTGTAATTAGATTTAATATGGCCTAGTGCACCATTATGCAAAAAAAATCCCCAAAATCCCATGCATGATGGTGTTGTGCTCTCACATAAAATCTGGGAGTAGACCTCACATTTCAAGTCTATGCACAGTGAATGTTTTACTTGCAGGTACTAGTGAAACTTAATATTTTTGTGTGTGCACGTAGTAGGTCCAGAGATGGCACAGGTACTCAAGAAGTGTTGCTATAACCCCAGTCCCCTACTGTGTATAGCTGACAAGATCATGAGACAGATTACAAAATGTTGAGCTTTAGTACATATAATGTCACTTTTTTCCTGATAGCTTGTGGCAAGACCATTGAAAGGCTCTTTTTAAAATGCTATTTTTTTGTTTATTTTAATGTGAAAGAGCATCCCACTTAATTGCAGTTCACTATAGATGAGGTGCTATGACCCTTGAAATAAATGCTTATCTGTCTAGATTAAAGCAATAATTCCCAAGCAATCTGTATTTTGGGAAGGCTTCCTTTATATTGCTTCATCTGTAAATTGGTGTGACAACATATGCTGCAGAATCTCAGCATATTACAAAAGATTCTGTAACAAACTTTGAGGCCACAAACTAACTGTTGTTTGCAAACTTTCTACAGGGTGTTGTACACTATATTTCAGAGGAAGTAACTGGCAGAACCATCTCAGAGTATTCCTTATCTAACTTTTTAAGTCACATGCACATATACCCCTACCTGTTCAAACCAATAATGCAGTCTAGAGCATAGTGTTCCAAACTATGTGTCAGCTGTTGAGTGTAGGTATGTCATGTAAACATAAATTAATCAGTTACTGTAATCCTTGCTAGTTAATTTAATTCATTTTATTTACCTTGATTAACTTGAGATCTGTTGTGTCCCCATAAATTTTGTTATTGCAATTTATGTGTATTTCTGTATCTCTTATAAGGGGTTGGTTTACCTCCAGTTTGCTAGTAAAACTGAATTACTGTGTCATGAAGTGATGCAAGTCTAAAATTTGTGTCACCAACATTAAATGTTTGGAACGTTCTGGTCTAGAGGATATCTGAATCTAAACATTAGGAGTTAAGATTATTAATAGTGAAGCAATGTCTTTTCAGAAGCATATGCCATTCACTACAATTCTTTTCCTTGATAATTTTCTGTTAGAATTTTAAGGAATCAGTGATTCCCATACAATGTAGAAACACCTGGTTTACAACCATAAATATTGTTAAGAGAGCCATGCAACTTAGGGCCCTTACACACAGCTGAATAAAATCCTACATTTTATGTTTTGAATGGGAAGATATGGCAGTGTGGACTCAGATAATTGAGTTCAAAGCAGATATTGTGGGATCTTCTGCCTTGATATTCTGGGTTATATGACTGTGTGGAATGGCCCCTAATCTGCATGCCAGCATAGGGTTTTTTGTAGTCCAAATTTACATAGTGAAACCAGGCCAACCACTTTGCTGCTTGAGGCAAGCGTATGCCCTCTACACCACCTAGATGCCCTGAGGTCACTGGGCAGGTGTATGACACATATAGACCTGCCTTTCAGCATCATGCTGCAGCTTGGTCACTGTGCTATCTGTCCCCTGCCATGCTGATACCCAGAACCTGCTCTCTCTGCTTAATGATAGGTCTGTACCTACCAAACAGCATTTCTAAATGGTATCTGGCATAACATTTCTGAAATCTAAGAAAATTGCAAAACCCGAAGGTACTAATAGATTCCAGCCTCCAGTGGTGGGGCCCTTCATTGATATTTTCATCAAATCCCAGCCTACATACATCAGTTATCTGTGATTATTATTATACATATAGATTTTGAATAAATCTAAATCAGTTAAAAGCTAAGAGCTTACATTTTTAAACAACTACTGTTTATGGATTGTTAAATGTTTAAATATCTGTATGTTATGATTGGTGTGGTTCTAAATTCTTAATGTTTGCGGTAATGTAATTTAATATATTATTTATTGTAGTGGACTTGTGCCTCTCCACAATGCATGCTCCTACGGGCACTATGAAGTAACAGAACTCCTATTAAAGGTATGTTAACGTAAGGTTTATTAATGTAATATGAAATGCATATCTATAATAATTAACATGTAATGATTTGATTTATTTATTGTTTGTGTGTGTGATGTACAGGTAACCACAGCACATAATGGCATAAATTCATTTGGTAATTTCAACTGGAATAGATCCATTGAATCATTAGAAGTTACATATGCTCCATGCATTTTCCCTGATTCTGAAATTGTATGCTTTTTTAAAATCCCATAACATGTAAACCTCATTTTCTGAGATAAATTTCCCCTTCCAGTTCACATTTGTAGCAAGGCTGACATATTCTTCTTATCAAATACTGATAAAATTACTTGAACATATATTAATATAATATCAATTCAATCTAATCCAAGGTGTCATTTTTGATGATAAAACGTACTCTCTTTAACACCAAATATAAAATATGGTGTTAAAAATTATTTGTATTAGGTTTTTGACTCATCTTATTTTCTTTCCTTCCTTAGCATGGAGCCTGTGTAAATGCAATGGATCTTTGGCAGTTTACCCCGTTACATGAAGCTGCCTCTAAGAATCGTGTGGAAGTTTGCTCTTTGTTACTCAGCCATGGTGCAGATCCAACATTAGTCAACTGTCATGGCAAGAGTGCTGTAGACATGGCTCCAACGCCTGAGCTGAAGGAAAGACTTACTTGTAGGTATCACTACTGTGGAGAATGTTGTCGTTCATATATAGACAGGGCTTTGTGTTTGCTCTAGTTTCTGCAAACGCTGTAGAATGAGCATGGAGAATCACAACTTTTGTTTGTTTGTAAAGGAAAGACCATGCTTATCGTGGCCTGGTAAACACTCTTTTATCAGATTCTCTTGCTTGTTGACAAAAGTAAGTCTAAAGAATTAGTGAGAAATTATTTAATTTTGAGTAGTCATCTTGATTAATCTTCAGCAATACTTGTACTTCTGTGACAATATGACTTTATTTTTAAAACAGCTTGGGATAATATACTGAAAAATCATTAAGCTAACTAGCCTATAATTTTATTTACCCCTTAGATCAGTGGTTCTCAACCTGTGGGTCCCCAAGTGTTTTGGCCTACAACTTGTTGGTGTTTCTTTCTCTAATTTTCAAAATGCTTTCCTCTGAATTTTGTCTTTATAGTCATGTATTGCTGCAGTGTTCTCCCTTTAGCTGTCTTCCTGATTTGATTCTCTAGCTCCACATCTCCCTGAACATTTTCCCCAAAAGAAATAAGAGAGATTTCCTCAGTATTAAATTATTTTTAAGACCTGCTGTTGACACTCTCTCTTGCTTTCTGGTAATGTCTCCTTCTTTTGATGTTTCTGGTTTGTTCAACACTGTCTCCCCCATATACAACCTTCCTGTCCTCTCATAGAGTTACTATCCAGAGATCACTATCAGCATGTTTTTTCCTTCAGAGATGACTGTAGTTATCTCAGTTTGACAAACCTTTCATCAATATCTGCTTTGTGCTTTCATTGAAAACCAAGCACTTCAGTTCTTTATATGATATACTTTTATATGTGATATCCCTCTCCAAATGTTTCCAGGGTGTGCATTTATCCTTTTGGCCCTTTCAGCTCTCTAGTTCTACTTTATGTTTGTGTACAATTTTTGTTCTTTCCCCATTTGAACATTCTGAATTACTTGCATCCTGTCTCTGAGAGATTATTCAGTCAAAATGAAATTCCCTATCGTGTTTTCCCATGTATCAGTTTAAAGCAGGGAAAGGGAAATAGCTCACAGGCATATTGCAGCATTTGTAGTCACGCCATCTAGCCCTCAGTGGTATCTAAATAAGTCCTTTCTCTTCCTTGAAGACTGGTGACCTGATAGTGATGGCCATGTCCCTGGTGCTTTGTGGCTTGTGGATTATTGTGTGGGTGGAAATCTGAGCCTCCACACCCAGTTTTGGTTTTGCACTCCTTTTAAAAAAGCTGTTCTGTTTGGGGTTTTAATCACAGGCGGCCTGATTCTGTATTTATTTAAGTGGATCCTCTCTCATAGAATCATAGCTTTGGAAGAGACTGCATGGGCCATACAGTTCAAAGTACCCCTGACAGATGGCCATCCTGCCTCATTTAAAAAACCAATAAGGAGCCTCTAGTCTATCACCCTTTGAGGCTGTTCCAGTGTTGGACAGCTCTTATGATCAGGAAGGTCTTTCTAATGTTCAGGTGGAATCTCCTTTCCTGGAATGTGTACCCATTGCTCCAAGTCCTAGTCTCCAGAGCGGCAGAAAGCAAGCCTACTCCCTCTTCCTTATGACAGCCTTTCAAATATTTAAACATGGTGATCATGTCTCCTCTCAACCGTCTCTTCTGCAGGTTAAACATACTGAGCTTGTTGTAGAAAGCTAGCTTGTTCCAAAATCATCTTCAGTGCTTAACAAATCTGAACTCCTCTTCTCGACACCATTATCTGCTCTGTACAATGAGACTCCACAGCTTTCCTTTCAAACTGGCCTTCCTTGTGGAGTGACTGGCATTAGAAAAATAGCCACTTGTCCTCTCTGGCTTTCAACCTCCTGCCTGAGAACCTAAATTTAGCTTCCAGGACCACAGGATGGCATCTCACATTATTATTATTGACATTAACATAACTGCTGACTCCCAGCATTTTCTGCCAGATTATGTACTGTAAAACAAGGAGAAGGATTGAATCTCCTGGTCTTCTTTATATTGTTACTAAATTCAGATATTTGCTTAATTCACTTGTCTATTTTGCATCTTATTATGGAAATTGAGCACAACAATGAATTGTGTAATTTGTTTGTTCTTGAAACAGGGATCTCTCTTTACCTCTAACCCATAAGTATTGTTTTACCTTTGCAAGTGCCTCATGGATATGAGGACAGTCACTATTGCCTACTGGGAAAATAAATTTCTCCTATTAGTGATGTATTTTTCTAAATATATGTTTATAGGAATCTGACACTTTGGAGCACTGTTTGTTTTCCTGCAGATGAATTTAAAGGACATTCCTTACTACAAGCAGCAAGAGAAGCTGACTTAGCCAAAGTAAAGAAGACACTTGCCTTGGAGGTCATTAATTTCAAGCAGCCGCAGTCTCATGAGACAGCACTGGTGAGAACATGGAGTCACATTGCTTGCTTTAGGCAGTACTTTAGACTTTGTATATGCAATTGTGGCTGAAGTTATTCGCAATTGGACTGGCATCTTCAAGGCAAATTTAGTTCAGTCTGTTGCAAGTGAGACTTGTTGCTTGACTTGCTAGTGACTTCCTTAGTTCTGAACCTAAGGAAGAGCATGTTGAAAGCATTTCCTTTGTTACTCACCCTATTAGAGCTGGGATATTAGAATTCTGCCACTCAAACCTATTTTTTTGGCTGTTTCCTTTGAAATAAGTAGCACAATCCTTCAAATATGCCATGTCTTTTTGCAATTCCATTTTTTTGGCAGCCTTAAAATTTATCTGTTGGGGATGACCACAAATGCCCAGTTGTAAGAAAAAAATATCTTTCTCCGAACAGAAATGAAATGAGAATAGACTTGAAAAATCATGGTCTTCCACTTTTACCAAACCCTGTTTTTTGGTGTGTGAATTCCTTTGCCATCCTTTGAAGTTATTAAATGTTACATTGGCATTACTAGTGATCCTAGTACAGTCTAACCAAGATCGCTGTTTATCCAGATACCACAACAGGATTGGTTTAGGACAGCTTTCCTTATCTGCTGCCCTACAAATGTGTTAGACTATAGCTGACCCAGATAGCATCTATTGTGGGATTTTGGGTATTGCGGTGCAGTAATTTTAGAAGGCATCATGTTGAGGAAGGCTGGTCTAAGCAGAGTGAGTACGTAATTTTTTAACCCCTGGCTGGAAATCTGCAGTCTGAATCTGGCCTGTAATATCTGAATTAGGGTGACAGTTGCTGCTGTCGCCATATTTGGGGTCTAGCATACCTCTATGGTGAAACATTGCTGACATTTGTTAATTTAACTGCCTCAGTGTACTCTGGGGCCCCAATGGAATATTGTTGGGCACTCTCACATTACACAATTACACATACCTCAAGACTCCTGTGAAGTCTTGAGGTATGTAGTTTGGGGAAACACTAGCACCTTCTGGAAGAGAATTCCTACTATCCCTCCATAGGGGCTGGACAATAAGGAAGGGTCAGTTGCCATCTAGGGCTGGGAAGTGAATTTGCCTATTTTCTGTGACACCAAGTTCTACCTATCAAGATACAGACAGACATGCAGGCAGGGTGGAGCAGAAGTGGGAGAGAGACTGAGTATGTGTAAACAGTCATGCAAGAATTGTACACACAACTGGACCTTTGCTTCCTGTTTTACAACAGCAGTTTGCACTGCTCAGAAGGGAAGACATAGTTCTGTTTCAAAATCAGTCTGGTCCCTTGACACAGAATTGCTCTGATGTAGCAGAGAATGCTTGGGCTGTATGCCCAGTTTTCTACCCCTTACTCATGTCTGACAGAGTCCTGCATCCAAACAAGTACTGTATTTCTTCCATTCTAAGACACACGTTTTTAACCTATATAAACATATCTTAAAATGGGATACTCTTAGAATCACAGGCATATCTTACATAGTTTTGGTGGTGGTACTGAAATAAGGGTGCATCTTACAATCAAGTATTTCTTTTCAGCTTATATTTCGAGTACATATTGAGTATTAATTTCCTTCCTTAGAGATACATTTTCCTAGACTGTCTTTTTCTTGTCTTGCAGCACTGTGCTGTGGCTTCTCTTCACCCAAAACGGAAACAAGTAACTGAGTTGTTGCTTCGGAAAGGAGCCAATGTGAATGAGAAAAATAAAGAGTATGTCCATTCTTTAAAGTCACCGCTTTCATATTTATATAAACCAGCTAAGCTTTGAAAGCTATTTACCTATATCGGATTCTTTTCTCTTTTTAAATATAGCTTCATGACTCCATTGCATGTTGCTGCTGAACGAGCTCACAATGATGTTATGGAAGTTCTCCACAAACATGGGGCAAAGGTAAATATTGGGCTGCATCTTAAAAGATTCTGTGCAGAAAAGAAGTAAACTTGGGTGTGAGTCCTGCATGTTCGCTATATCAGGGAGCTTTTTTAAAGTTCTGTTAACTTCACTGGAAAAGGTGGATGTTTAGCCCTTTATCTGTTCTCTTACAGTCAAGTGTCATTCATAATTTTTACACCCTATGTGTTCTGAAAGATGTTTCTTGCTTAGACCTTCGAGGACATGTATGTATCTGCTGTGTGTCTGGAAAGGTAGACCATGATCTGTCCTCTGATTTTGTAATCTCTTCTTGAAAGTGGTTTTGAGAAAAATCAAAGTTACAGAATTTACTGAGGCAATTTGGCCTTTCCTCTGTACATTTTTGCCAGATCTTTTAAAGTTTGTTTTATGAGTTTGCTTTGATACTAGACATGAAACGATAGGTTATCTTTTCAACGGGGATTTTCAGTGTACTGTGATGGTGGTGGTTATTATAGGATAAGAAGTATAGTGGCATATCTGTTTTTACCACATCTGTGTTATCAAATCAGCACTGAATTATCCTGAGTTTATGTCATCTCTGGTCCAATGGTCACCTTACTTGATGTAAGTTTCAGAAAGGACTGGATTATTAATTGACTTCTTAAATATTTCTCCCCTTAATAATTTCTTTGCCATTGTGAAGCAGAAGGTGCCAGTATCTTGTTGTAACATGTTGTTTCTGCAGATACATTGATAAACATGGGCAGGTCAAAGAAGGTGCACCCTGTTATCGGTTGAGGGTCAAACCCCTGAAATAGTCTTGCTTACATAAATACAGTTTTACTTGCATGTTGGTTATCAAATGGGGACCTTAGAACATATCTTCCCAGTTCAGGTCTCTCATCACTTACGTATTTCAGAATTGACTGTAAGGGAAATGATGAATCAGTTCATTACCTGGAAGATTTAATTGCCATTTACTTTACTTGGATGAGAGAAAAAGGGCTGAAGAGAAGTTCTATTTTCCCAACGGGAATAATCAAAGTGATTCACTGAGAATTCACCTTCAAACCTGGATTCAAAGAGCCAAAAACATTTGCAGTGGATGCCCAGGGCCTCTTTTCAACCCAGTACAGGTCAACTGTGACAAATGCAGCTTTATTTGTTTGGTTGGTGCATCTTCGTATAGAGTAGCGAGTTGCTTTAGTGGTGCAGCTAGGAGGGTATTTTTTCTTAATTTCTTGAATTTGTTTCACAACAATGGGATGCTGTACAAACATTCCCTGTGATATTCAAACCTTGTTGTTATTCATTTTGGCTTAAATTAGATAAATTAAACGTATATCCCACATTTCTGCCAAAATTACCATCCATAGCAAATGAGAATGGTAAAAATAATATTTTAAATGTATGTTTAAGAGATGGGACCATGCAGTATATAAGGTATGCTGTAGTCCATTTAGATGCCAAAGTGAAGCAAGGACACATTGTTTCCTAGTCTTGTTCTTGGGTGTGATTTGGCTTCGGAGAGATATTGTGAATGTAAAAAAGGAAGCAATTTGTCCTATATAGATAAAAGTGGATGAAACTGAGCCGTAGAAGATTCAATGTAAACCCTTTTTTGACATAGGGTTGGGGAGGAGAGCATCATACTTTGTAGAATGTAATTGTTACCAAAAAAATCCATGCTAAATATTCCCCCAAGTCTTAGCCTGGAACCCCAGGTCTCAGCGGTGGCTGGGAGAGCTTTTGCACAATTAAAACTTGTGCGGCAGCTGCCCATACCTTGGGAAGTCAGACTTGGCTGCGGTGGTCCACGCTTTTGTTACATCCTGGATAGATTACTGAAATGCACTCTACATGGTGTTGCCTTTGAAGATTGTTCGGAAGCTCCTACTAGTCCAACGCTCGGCAGCCAGGTTGCACACTGGAACGGCCTACAGAGAATATACAACCCTCTGCTATGCCAGTTCAATTGGCTGCCAGCCTGCTTCCGAGCACAATTGAATGTGCTGGTTTTAACCTTTAAAGCCCTGTACTGTTCCGGCCCAGATTACCTGTCCAGGCATATCTCCCATTATGAACCATCATGAAGTTTAAGATCAGCTGGAGGGGCTGTGCTCTCGGTCCCATCACCATCGTGACTGATGGGGACAAGACACAGGGCCTTCTCAGTGGTGCCCCCCCCCCCGTGGAACTCCCTTCCCAGCAACATCAGACCGGCCCCCTCCCTCCTGTCTCTTAGAAAGAAACTTAAAACCTGGTTATGGGACCAAGCGTTTGAGCAATAGAAGCAGCAATTTGGACGATTTAATGTGATATGATGGACAATGGACTGACCCAGACACTGATTTTAAACTGGCATGATTTTAAACAAGTGTTTTTATTAATATAATGTGTTTTAAATGAATTGTTTTTAACTGTATTTTATGTTTGTGATTAGCACTAAAACGAATGCTTGTTGTGAAGCTGCCTTGAGTCCCACCCCCAGGGGTGAGAAGGATGGGCTACAAATGTACAAAATAAATAAATAAATATTACCAGGCTTAATTATACCATCCATTAGCTGTCCATGATAAAAGTGCAATTTCAGAGGTTCCCTCCAGGAAAAATATTATATTACTTTGTAAGTTTGGATGTTTCTCTTTTCTTCTGTGTTTATCTGGAAATTGTCCTTCCAAAACAGCCCCAAGCTTAAAAAATGTTTTACAAAAGCCTATAATTTTTTTTTTATTTCAAGCATTTATATCCCATCCTTTTCACCTCTGAAGAGGGACTCAGGACGGCTTACAACAGGCATAAATGGTGTTGTCAAAGATTGTCATGGCCTGAAGCACTGAGATGCTGTGAGTTTTTTGGGCTGTATGGCCATGTTCCAGAAGAGAGAATGCTTCTGGAACATGGCCATACAGTCTGGAAAACTCACAGCAACCTATAATAATTACACATGTAATCCATAATTCTGTTGAGAATTTCTGTTTCATTTCTGAGAGCATGTGATTTAATTTTCTGCAGGACTGGTGAGCCATATTCAATTATAAAAGAAATAATTTCCGTAGCCCCATTTAAACTCAGTAACACCTACCTTCATATGAGAGTAGTGCATGGGAAAATTAATTAATTCTGTCTTAGCCTATGGCATTTATGTTTCAACCAAACAGGAAAAGTAATGAAATTACTCTGTTGCATAATATTTCTTGGTTCCTTCCCAAAAGAGCTCTGGAGAAGTCAGTTTGCAATGTAAAGCATTTGTTAATATTCCATTTTACTAAATGTACGTTTATACATCCCCCCCTTCCCCATCACAGATGAATGCACTAGACACACTTGGGCAAACAGCTCTGCACAGGGCTGCATTGGGAGGTCACCTGCAAACTTGCCGGCTCCTGCTGAATTATGGTTCAGACCCCTCCATAATCTCCTTACAAGGTTTTACCGCAGCACAGATGGGCAATGAAGCTGTGCAGCAGATACTGAATGGTGGGTATTCTGTTGCTTGGTAATAAGTGATGATTAATTGTGACTTCCAGAAAATGGTTTTTAATTAACATTTTAGATTGAATATTCATTTGTTTGTCCGCCTCAAGATGCTCTTAGAGTATCAGAAACATTAAAAAGAATAGAACAGTATGATCTTGGGAGCTGGCAGAATCAGTGCTGTTTAATACTCGGATGGGAGATTACCAATGAATTACCAGGTCCTGTAGGCTTTATTTCAGAGGAAAGAACTGGCAAAAGAACCTGAATATTCCATGTCTAAGAACATCCAATTAAATGAATGGGATTGTCATAGATCAACAGACAACTTGACGGATAGGCACGCAGACATAAAACAAAGCAGCAAAACAGTATAAATAAATTTTTAAAAGTGTCAAACTAGGATAAAAACAAGTAAAGGATGTAAGCCACCTGAATATCAAAGTCAGTGTCAAAATACTTACCATGAAAAGTGTATAACAGAATAGGACATTACAACTAAAGCACCCTTTCGTCTTCCATACCTTTCAACATATCTTTTGGAGGAGAATGTTGTTTACACCCAGGCAACCGCTAGTGAGCACAGGCAATCTCATGGTATATTATTTGAATATTATTTGAGGCTCCAAAAGTTAGAATCTTGGTTTAGCTGTCACCATCCAGGAGAGCTTGCAGATGGTAGATGGTGCAAAGGAAGCTATATAGGCCTCATAAAAAGCGAGAAATATTTATTAGGACTGCCATTAATATTCACCAACTATATTAAGATCAACAATAACCCACTGAATCAAGTCAAACAGATTACTAGAAGGAAATGTTGTCTTGCCAACATTTACATTGCGATTTCCTTCCTTCTGAAATGTTGAATCTTCCTGATACTAGTTTCATTTTTCTTAGCCCCCTCTGAATTCTGAGCCTCTTTTGTCCATATTGCTGTTTAATCTTATTGGGCAGGAAGAGCCATAGCTAGGACTGACTGATAATGGTGAGGGAAATGGACAATCGAGAAAAATATAGAGAAGAACATTACTAAAATGGATTGAATATATTTGCAATGAATGTTGAAAATTTCCAAACTTAAATCAAAATGTTTTTTGACTTTCAGAATGACATGCAAAAGAAAGCAAGCTTATCTGTAGCCTCTGATAGCTCACTTGTTCCTCTCCCTCCTCCCTGACAGTTCCTATATTTACTTCATTGATTTACTTTTGAATCTTGTACTTGTATCTTGTTGCCGTTTGCCCTAGGATTAGGCAAGTGGAAAATTAGCGCTTCTTGAATGAGTTTCATTAATATTTTAATGCTTGTTTTGATGTTCAACGTACATAGGGATTATAGGAACATACATCATATGGGCAAAAAATACATGTAAACATTGAAATACTTCCAGATTCCATGTTAAATGAGGGAGTTCAAAGCAAATGAAATCCCTTGTTTCACAGCATCTGTTTAATTACCAAAGAGAAGTGAAACAATTTACCCAAAATATGTATTCCTGCCTAGTTAGATCACAAATTATTATATTATAGTTTCTGACATCATAAAAAGTTCAATGTTATTGGAATACTGTCTACTATTTCTCACTTAATTAGTTGAATCCCCCCCCCCCCTTCAATTCAGTAAAACATCTGTGTATCATATAATAACTGAATTAACCCTTTTTTGTCCAGCTACTTGAAATGCCGGGCATCACATGACTTGTCACCTCCCTCAACCTGATGATGCTTGTTAAATATTTAAAGTTGGGTTTGCCTTTGATCACAAGAACCTAGAATCAATGTATCATATATAGAGGTTATCTTTTCTCTTCCCTCTAGAAGAAAATTTCTCCCTGTCTCAACTGAAGGAAGCCATTATATTGAAATCAGGTTTAACTACGATTTACAATAATCAGTGTTCTATCACAAGTAGGGTTTCAGAAAAAGAAACAACATAGATTCACACCTCTGCCATCATGTTTAGCAATCAAAGTTAACACTAGTTGGTCAGTTCCCATCCAAAATGGAAGAGGTTGTAATTAGTCTTAAACTTCAGAAAAGAGAAAAAGGGGTATAAAAATACTAGTTTCTACTTAGTTACAAAAATAAATCATTTTTGTCTAACATAGCTTTAAGTAGCACTATAAACTACTTTGCTTACATCAAGTAAGCATTCCCCCCAATAGAAGATGAGACTGAGATTGCCAGATACTGGCTTTATAAAAAGCATGAGATTTGAACCAGGATTTTCTGGTTTATAGCTGAAATTGCAGTCTTATATCACCAGCAACACTTCTGTTTTAAGAAAGAAAATCTAGTCAGCTTCTATCAATCCAAGATGCTTATATATTTATTCTCCATCACATAGAGAATACCCCTGTACACACGTCTGATGTGGATTATAGACTGTTGGAAGCCTCTAAAGCTGGAGATTTAGAAACTGTGAAGGTAGGTCGGAACAAAAACTTTCTGTTGTGTATAATATATTACTGACATTTCTTGGCTGTGTAAGAAATATTTTGGTGTGAACAAAATCAGCCGTATTCGCTAGATGTAATGCTTGCACATTGGATGTGTTTTGTAATACAGTTGGATTACAATCTACCTGTCCAAACGCATCAGCTAGGATTACAGTTGGATTACAATCTACCTGTCCGAACGCATCTCCCTCTATGAGCCACCACAGAGATTAAGATCTGAGGAGGCCCTGCTCTCGGTCCCACCATCATCACAGGCGTGACTGGTGGGAACGAGAGAGAGGGCCTCCTCAGTGATTGCGCCTAGGCTATGGAACTCCCTCTCTGGTAAGATTAGATCAGCCCCCTCCCTCCTATCCTTCAGAAAGATGCTAAAAACTTGGCTGTGGGACCAGTCTTTTGGGACAGTGCAGTAAGGCAACAAAATGAAACTTTACCCTGCCAACCGAATTCAATACGGAGGATTTGAGATGGTTTTAAACAATTGATTTTAACATGAAGACAACTGATTTAATGTGTGTGTATGTTTATAGTTCGTTTTATGTTCTGGCATTCAATGTTTGCCGTACATATGTTGTGCTCCTCTCTGAGTCCCCCTCGGGGTGAGAAGGACAGAATATAAATGTTTTAAATAAATAAAATAAATAAAATGTTAAATAGATGTAGATGAGTGCTTAGTGGATAAACATTTGGGTCAAGCAGAAATAGATTTGGGCTGTTTTTTTTAAAAGTAAGTCTTGTGAATTGATCTTAATTTATGTAAAGAAATATGAAATTGCATTAGAGATTTTTCTTTTTGTTAAAAGCAGAGCTAAATTGAAACCTGGGATATACAGTGGCATACCATATAAATTCTTATAAAATCAATTCTTATTTCTTTCAACCCCGTCTTGTGCAAGCTATTAAAATAGCAGACTACTTTAAAAGCACCTTATCATCTTTATCCTGTTCTTTCAATTCTTTTTGCCATGTTGCTGCATTTTATTTACTGTATTTGTACACCTCCTTGTTGCCCAAGCATCCATGGTACCGTAGTTTATGACTTGAAAATACTAGAACAACAAGTTCTCTCAGGTTGATGACAAGAGCTTCCTGCTCTAGGCTTCCTTGTGGCACACAAGCTTAGAAGCTGATGTATTGAGCACAAGAGTGGTCTGTCTTTAATTCCATTATGGATATCTTTTGTCTTCATTTTCTCCCCACAGCAACTCTGTAGTCCCCAGAACGTGAATTGTCGAGACTTGGAGGGGCGTCATTCAACTCCGCTGCACTTTGCGGCAGGTTATAACAGAGTGTCAGTAGTGGAGTACTTGCTTCACCATGGAGCAGATGTGCATGCGAAAGATAAAGGGTATTATATTTTTCAGTTTCTTGTTTTGTTCCCGAGCGGAATGGATTCCTTCTCAAACTGTTTTCTAAGCTCTCTGCATGAAATCCAGGGGTCCTCTTTAAATGCTGCAGTTCTTATAGTCAACAAAGTATCTTGTGGAAGATGTCTCTTGTTCTTCCTTTGTTGTAATCTTCCATTAATTATTATAATAGTTTGTTATACTAGCATATAGTAGATAATTATACTAAATTTAAATGTCTGAACTGTTACCCACCATTGAGGGATGCTATTTTGGATGCAAGATTGCTGCTCCAGCATATTATTTGGGAAAGATGTGACAGTAATGAAACCTGACTCCTGAAATTTGAGACAACTTGTTTCCAGCTTCTTCTTACATATTGTAAATGTTTAAAAGAGTAAAGGTGATGATATAGTTTTTTTTCAGGGCACCTCAATAGTTTCCTATGTATTGCGAAACAATCCTTCATAACTGTTTTCAAATTGTATTAGTTTGGAAAAGATATTTAACACTCAGTTTTTTGATCTGTATCTAGCCTATAGTCTTTCCCATAAAGCCCATGGGATGAAGCACACACACATACATGTATTTAAAATGTCATCTGCATGAAAATCTACCATGTCAGGGTATGATTTTTCAATAGTCAATGAAAAAATACTCACTACTGTCCTGTAAACTACTCTGCAGGCTGGATTTGGCTTTAGTCGTTCACTTAGCGCCTCAAACAGTTCTACTGGGTAAATATGGCACATTTTTTGCTCAGGTACAGAAAAATCATGATCGCAGATCTGCAATCCAAATTGTATCAGTTTCTGTATATTATTTTGATACGTTTGTACTCACCTGAGGCATTGAATGCTTGTCTTTTGTGTGTGTGTAAACTGCCCCGAGTCCCTTTGGGGAGAGAGGCCAGTCTAAAAATAAAGTTGTTGTTGTTGTTGTTGTTGTTGTTGTATCTGTTTCTAGCATTACCTTTTCTTTACAGCACTCATTAGGACCTGAAACTAATTTAATACATACAGTTTCTACATATTCTTAGATAGGGCCTTTATGATACTATTTGGAAAAGATAACTGCTATTTATCTTGAAGGATTACTGCTGTTTTTACATGTTTAAATATTGTTGTATGTCACTGACACATTTCTCTATTTAATTTAGTGGCTTAGTACCCCTGCATAATGCCTGTTCATATGGACATTATGAAGTGGCAGAATTGTTGGTGAGACATGGTGCTTCAGTCAATGTTGCAGATCTCTGGAAGTTTACTCCACTGCATGAGGCGGCAGCAAAGGGAAAATACGAAATCTGCAAGCTTCTTCTAAAAGTATGTAGTTTCTAGATACAGATGTAGATATTTTAGAATTTCATTTTGTCTTTCTGCAGCTAACTTTGATGTAGCTGGAACTGGGACATATAGCAGCCTTCATTTTCATATAATTTCTTTCAGGTAGTGCTAACACTTTTATTAAAAACACTCTTGGTGGTTAATAATAAATATGTTCACTTATTTGAGAAGTCGTGTTAAATATACTTGTCTTATTGATGTGATTTTGGAAATAATAATTTCCATTCACAGTGTGCAATAGGCACTTGAAAAAAGAATTTCAGACATAATTATTGTGTTGAATAATAGCTGCAGCAGATAGGATAAATTGTCAGAAATAAATATATTTGGCAATGGAAAGATGGAATCATAATTTCTGAATCTCACTAACCTCCAACTGTTCTGTACTTCAGTTACAGAATAAGCATCTTGCTTCATGTATAACTCCAACATTGTGAAGATAAACTCGGGCACTCCTGTTTAGGCTCTTGGCTTAAAGGGAGGTTTTTATATAATTATATGGAAGTAAGAATTGGATCAGAATTCCCTGCCATAGTCTACAAAAAGACAAACATTCTGTCTTGGGGAAACTTGCTTATACAGCTCTGGCATTTTGTATTCAGATTACCGAGAGTTATGAATGTATCCACTTGAAGCAAAGCTTTGACATGTGAAAATGAGTGAATAGAATAGTGAAACTTCCAGCTGTGATGGCAGAGCATGGAAAAGATAGGATATGTAAGAAATCTCAAGAGAAACTCCCTGAGTCCTGCCTAAGTCCTTTGCAGAGGCCTAGAGATGCCTTAGATTTCCTGAATTCTTTGTATTGAGTGTTGCCAAACATAATATTTGTTCATAGGAGGATAATTCAGCATTTTTATTCCTAAACACTTGCCATCCAAAAAATACTCACGGGAAGCTCACCAGTAGGATGTGATCATAATCCTTCCCTATTTGCTTCATATGGACAGGTCAGTGTTAGTCCATCCTGTGCAAATCATTTAATAATAATAATAATAATAATAATAAGTATTATTATTATTATTATTAATAATAATAATAATATTTATGACCCACCTTCTCTCTCCAAAGGGTCTCATTTGGTGTTCATGGATATGAGGATTTGAAGATCAAACTGCAAAGATTCTGGCACAAGCCAGTAAAGGTGGTCCCAGTGATGATTGGCACAGAATGTTACCAATAATAATAATAATAATAATAATAATAATAATAATAATAATAATAGTAATAGGAGGTCAGCATAATACTTCTGACCTCACAATCATGGAAAAAAAACGAAGTATGGATCGTCGATGTTGCAATCCCAGGTGACAGTAGAATTGACAGAAGCAACTGGAAAAGCTTACACAATATGAGAATTTAAAGACAAAACTGCAAAGATTCTGGCACAAGCCAGTAAAGGTGGTCCCAGTGGTGATCAGCACACTTGGTCCAGTGCCTAAAGACCTTGGCCTGCACTTAAAAACAATAGGCACTGACAAAATTACTATCTGTCAGCTGCAAAAGGCCACCCTACGCAGATCTGTACACATTATTTGTCACTACATCACACAGTCCTAGACATTTGGTGTTCATGGATTGCTAACTGTGAATCAGACCTAATTTTTTTTTTTTTTGCTACTTTCAAATGAGCACATTCTGGAGCTCATTTTGGGAACCTGATCTAGTTTTGCAGGTGGAATTGACACAAAGGGCTAGAAATTGTCCACTCTGTTAAATTATCAAGGCAGTTTCTTGTGATGTGGGGATGTGGCACTGTCCATTTCACATCTGGATTCTGTAGTACGGTGAAGGAGAAGCCTTTTTTATTTGTCTAAAAATCAAAGTATCTGCAATTTGATTAGTAGATGATGCACCAAGTAGTCTTTCCCCTGTCCCCATGGTTTTGGAGTGCCTTTTTTGAAAGGACATTTTTCATGTGGAAAATTTGAAAAAATGTGTTTAGTACAGATTTTGTTAAGAGAAATCAGTAATCTTTTTAAAAGGAATTGTCAAAATTAATTAGAAGAATCAACATTCCTTTCTTTCTTCCTTTTTCTGAATGATTTGTATAATATGCTCACCTTTATCCAGCAGGAAGAGACCAGCATGCAGCTGGTGTGGGTGTCTCTCAAGACACGTAACACAGTTCTCATCTCATCAGCATTGAATTTAATGCTGCATTTGCTGTAGATGGTGCTGCGCATTCACATCTGGGGAAGACTCATCACATGTAATAAAGCGTGCCTGGAGCTGGAGTTGGGCCAATTCATTTTAATGCCCGCCAAGCTGCCTAATCAGACTGAAAGATAGGAAATAATTGAATGGATTAAACAGAGGAAAGCAGATTTAGTTCTTTGCAGAAAAAGCATTTCAGGCAACTAGAATATCACTCTTTAAAGTCCCATATATATAAAGAAGATTTTCTTGGCTTCTGCTGTGATAACATACAAGGAAGTGAAGGCTCACGTCTTCCAACAAATGATACTTTGGCCATGAAGTAATGCTGTGTGTTTCTAAGAAGAAATGCTGAGAAAAGAATACTGATAGTGATGGATTTGAAGTTAATGTTGAACCTGTAACTTTTCATACGATTCTTCTGAAATAGAGTGATTTGTTGTTGAAGTATTATTGATTGGGCTCATGGGCCTCAAGGTAGATAGAACAAGAGATTAATGCTGAAACACAGTGCGCTAAGTGGGGGGTTAAGAGGTGAGTGATAGCCATAAATATATTGGGCTGTAATAACTTCTAAGACTATCCCTTTATCTTGAAGATATGTGACTTACAGTGATATTAATTTGAACAGTTTAAAACATTGTGAAGCAGACTCGTTTAAAAGCTTTAAAAATGAATCTAAAGCTAAAATATAATACATAAAACAGAACAGTTTAAGAACAGTTAAAGACATTTAAAATCAAATTATGTGCAAATTTGGACAAAATCAATCATGTTCCCCAAAATTTAATAAATACCGGCAGCATTGGTACTGAATGTATGCAATAAATAAATTTTCCTTTCTCCTGTCATGTTTTAAAGTGTCTTCTCTGCAGATACTGTTCATTAAATTTTTTTATATTTTTGTAGTATCCGTTAATTTATATATTCTTTTTAACCTGTGTTTTATTTTTCCTGGTATAAGATTAGCTTTTGATTGAGCCTAGTAATTATTTTTTTGCCCATGTTTCTGCTAGTTGTCTTTTGTGGAATGTGATTTCAACATTAAAGCTGCAACTTCATTTAGTGCTTCAGGTTGCCATAGTTTATACACACCAATCAATAGGGTTACTTCCTAATTCTGAAATTTGCTCCACTTTTCTCTCTCTTTGTTTTTTCTTTACAAAGGCAGTTCAAGGTAAAATATACTCCATCATGAATTTACTTATTCTTCCATATGTTTCCATTTGCCTTTCTAAAATCTTTATGTCAGAGTGGAAAATATGTAATCTTCCAGATATTACTAAACTCCCAAGTCCTCAGCCATTCTAAACTGATGAAACTTGAACCTGGAGAAGGCGGAGCTCCAATGAGACAGGAAGTGAGGAAGGGGCGGCCTCCCTCGCACTGCTGTTCTGCAGTCAATGGGGACAAGTGTACTCAGATGAAACCCCTCGCAAGACCTCTTAACACAGTCCTGGGCCAGCTTCTTTGGCCTTTCCTCCGGGTGTTTTGGACTTCAACTCCCACAACTCCTAATAGGCAGTATGCTGTTGGGAATTGTGGGAGTTGGAGTCCTGAAGGGCCGTAGTTGGTCCATTCCTGATCTAGAGGAACAAAGGCACAGGAGATGCCAAAGAAACTGGATAAGAACAGGAAGAAACAATGCTTTCAATTAAAAACCAAGATGTGTGTGTAATACAGTAATTTTGTATTACATTGCGTTAAGTGTCTCCTTATTGATATGTGATGTTTTTACAGATGTGAGGCATTGAATTTTGCCATTGATTATGTTGAGAACCGCTTTGAGTCCCCCTAGGGGTGAGAAAAGTGGTATATAAATCCAATAAATAAATAATAAATAAATAATGTTGGAAAACCACATCTCCCTATTCCAGCTTTTAGATTAACCTTTTAAGTAGATTATGGCCCCACAGGTGCAGTTCCAAATGCAATAATAGCAAGACTCAAAAGAGAATACACGGGGGTTACTAGTCACTGTGGCTGACAGAAGACCTATAGCCACACCTCCAAATGCTCATAATGTCTTCCCAAGTAGACTTTGTGCTAATAAGAGAACTTTCTGTTAAGTAATTCACAATAATCAATTCTTTTTTCTAGCAATTGTAAAAAAAAAAAACATTTTTAAATAACAATTTAAAAAACCTTCATATTGGTAGGGAACCGTAACCTAAGGACCAATTCTCAGATATACCACTTTTGCAAGAGGCTGGTGTACAATTCATAATAACAGCACATGAAGCTAAATAAAGATTTCCTTTTTGCTCAGTTGATGCAATCTGAATTTACATAGTGATGTGAGTTGAGAAGCTTTGTGGAGTGGGGAAACCAATCTTCTATTCCCCAGGGGAGCTGTGGTGCATTTTAAAGAAGAATTCCCTTTCCCATAGGTTTCCAGGAGAAATCATTTCCATTTTTAAAAAAGTTTTCTTTTCCAGTAAGGTACAGGGTTAGTAAGAAGTGAATGATACATATTGCTCTCTTTGGTTGACTGTACCATAAACCTGTTGAATGCAAGCAATTCATTCTAGGGTCCTTCGTGTCATACAACTTTTGCATATAACTTGAAAAGAACAATGTCTTGAACTTCCTGCCAAAGCATACCATAGAATTATGCTGGAGGCCCTACAGATACCTTGAAAAGTTTCTCTCTAGACCTCCAGTGCAGTCCTATGGCCAATGTCCCCCAGAAGACGGGCATAGACATGCACTGGAGACCTAGAGAGAACACATTCGTATGCATTGCTAGGTTCTCATGCACATTGGTATGCATCGCTAGGTTCTCATGGTATTCAAAGCTCTTCAATTATAACTGAAAGCACATTCAGCAAGTTCACATATATCTTTAGGAGTAGTTTCTGTGATCTTCATGGTCACATCTGTGAATTTCATTTCCCTCTTCTAAAGTCTGTGGGAATCATACGCATTAACTTGTTCCTAAGGTGTATTGGGACCCATGTTTTTGTTGGAGATAGCAACCTTCTCAAACCTCCTCTATTTAATGTTATATCTGCTTATAATGTGTCCTTTTATTTCCTGAAGTGTAAATCTTATTTGGTTTGCAATTTCCTTAGCTCTATATACTTGAGGCAGTGGGAGGGGTTGCAGATCATATGACTGTTTAGAATGCAGTTTAAAAGGATGACAGTTGAGAAATGACAGTTGACAGTTTTCCAGTCAGATGTCGGTGTAGGAAGTTAGAAAACTGTTGAGGCTTGTGTTTTCTTTGAAAGTAGACTGTTATGAAGGAGAACTGTAAAGAGCAATGTAGTTTTTTTAATAGACTGTTAAAGACTATAAACTGAAACATTTAAAAAAGTCTATCCTGACAAGAATTGTGCCTGTATATTTAAATACACTAAGTTATTAGTAAAACAAGGATGTTATTTTAAAAGACGTCTTTTTGAATCTTTGCCTCCTGAGAGCATCGAACACGATATCTATGTGCCCAGTGATCATCCATTAACCAATAAACTAAAGAAACACTTCCATAACTCTGCTACGCAATAGGTCATAATTCCTAATGGGTTATGATCCTAATAGGTCATAATCCATTATCCCAAAAGTTTTTATGTATGGGTGGGATTGTTCAGTGCCTGTCATTTTGGGACTGGGATAAAAAGACTTAAACCTTTCTGGATTTTAGCATAGCCTCATTTCATCCATTCAGTCTAAATTTATTTTGTAAGTTTTTTTGTATTGTGAGCCTGTCTTTTTTTCCCCTGTGACTTGCCATGTATGATGGGTAAATAGTAAAGTGTAGCTGACTCATTCTGTTGTATTTGGTGGATTAGGGCAGGAAAAGGAAGGGAGACCTCAGCTAGCCTACATTTGATTTCTGCTAGTAAACAGTAGAAATTGTGTGTGTCTGTTTTTATAGCATGGAGCAGATCCAACAAAAAAGAACAGAGATGGCAATACACCACTAGACCTGGTGAAGGAGGGAGACACAGATATACAGGATCTTCTGCGAGGTGATGCTGCTCTACTGGATGCTGCCAAAAAGGGCTGCCTGGCACGGGTTCAGAAGTTGTGTTCTCCAGAAAACATCAATTGTAGAGATACCCAGGGACGGAATTCCACCCCGCTTCATCTCGCTGGTAAGTAGTCGTCACAATGTGTCAAAGGTTTTCATGGCTGGAATCACTGGGTTGCTGTGAGTTTTCCGGGCTGTATGGCCATGTTCCAGAAGCATTCTCTCCTAACATTTCACCCACATCTATGGCAGGCATCCTTAGAGGTTGTGAGGTCTATTGGAAACTAGGCAAGTGAGGTTTATATATCTGTGGAGTGTTAATCTAATGCTAATCAAGGTGGCCAATTGCAACAGTCACCCTTTCCTCAAACAGACAAAAGTTCTTTCTCCCACCCTGGACATTCCACAGATATATAAACCTCACTTGCCTAATTTGTTTATTATTTATTTATTTACTATATTTATATACCATCCCTCTCAGCCCGCAGTCGACTCAGGGCGGTTTACAGTTGGTGCCAAGACCATAAAATACAATTTCAATACAATAAAAACAATTGGATAATAAAACCTTAACAAAATCAATAAAAACATGAACATTAGGGTCTCCTGTTAAAAACATTGTCCAAACACATTGTTCAATCATTCCAATTTCCTGCAGACCTCACAACCTCTGAGGATGCCTGCCGTAGATGTGGGTGAAATGTCATGAGAGAATGCTTCTGGAACATGGATGTATAGCCCAGAAAACTCACAGCAACCCAGTTATCACAACATTTTTCTGTCACACAATGCATAATTTATTCACATAAAATTGTTCTGGAAACTGTCACATCTACCCAAAGAGCCATGTATTGAACGCAACAGGAAATTAGAGCTTAAAAATTCAATTGATTTGATTTAACTGCTGAATTTGCTGTTGATGCATTGTTCTTTTAAAATGTAGCTGGTTACAATAATCTGGAGGTTGCTGAATATCTTTTGGAGCATGGTGCTGATGTCAATGCTCAAGACAAAGGAGGATTAATTCCACTGCATAATGCAGCATCCTATGGGGTAAGCGTTATTTACTAGTGTTTATATTTTCAAGATGCATATTCTACTTTTTTGTAATCAGTGCAGCTTAATGTGCAGAACAGCACCACAATAAATAATAAAAAGCCATCAGTAACACAAGCAAAAAGAAAGTAGCAGCAAAAATGTGCCTGATATTTGCTGTCTACATAAGTTTGCAATTGTAAAATGCTGGCATCACCTGGCAGTTTCTAATTACTAACTACCAAACAAACAAAAAATTCCATTGATTTGGAGTGAATAGATAATTTACCAGTTTCTAACTGTTCTTATAGTCATATGCAACCATTTTGTAAGCTTCTGATTCAGAATGTATTGCCTTTGCACTTTCCCGGAAGCAGGTGATACTCAGAACTAGGTCAGATTTTATGGAGATGAGGGATTCCTTGCCTCCTTCATATTGTTTCTTGATGACAAGCAATTTGCCAGAATTATTCAGTGTTACAATTTAGGAACATAGATAGAGATAGGTGTATCTTCTTCAAGACAACTCTAGGTAAATTGTAACTGAATAATGGTAGGAGGACACAGACAGTCTGAGATTGTAGTGTACTATACATTACATCAGGGGTCCTCAAACTAAGGCCTGGGGGCCGGATGCGGCCCTCCAAGGTCATTTACCCGGCCCTCGCTCAGAGTCAACCTAAATCTGAAATGACTTGAAAGCACATAACAACAACAACAATCCTATCTCATCAGCCAAAAGCAGGCCCACATTTCCCATTGAAATACTAATAAGTTTATATTTGTTAACATTGTTCCTCATTTTAATTATTGTATTGTTTTTAAGTGTTTATTACACTACAAATAAGATATGTACAATGTGCACAGGAATTCATGTTTTATTTTTCAAATTATAATCTGGCCCTCCAACAGTTTGAGGGACTGTGACCTGGCCCTCTGCTTAAAATGTTTATGGACCCCTGCATTACATAGTGCCTGGGTCCTGCCTGTGCATATGTTTGTTCATATAGCTGTTCATAGTTGTAATGCCTTAATAAATTTCCAGCACTGAATAATCATTTTTCTTGGAGTTTAAAATGCATAATTAATCCGTTGAGCATTCTAGTTTTTATTCTTCACAGAGAATGTTGCTATTGTACTCTCTTCTTTAAAAATTGTTTCCTATTCTCCCAGCATGTAGATATAGCAGCTTTGCTGATTAAATACAATACCTGTGTAAATGCTACAGATAAATGGGCATTTACTCCATTGCATGAAGCAGCTCAGAAAGGAAGGACTCAGCTCTGTGCTCTGCTATTAGCTCATGGAGCAGATCCAACAATGAAGAACCAAGAAGGCCAAACGCCTTTGGATCTGGCCACAGTAAGTTCTTTTTGAAAAAACTCAGTGGTTATTTCCATATTGTTATCCAGTAGCAAGTGTGGTGCCATTTTATTTCCTCTGTCACATTTATATTTTGACACTTAGTCTTAACGCACTCAGTGTAATATGTGACTCCAGCCCTTCAGAGGATTCCTGAGGGGTCATTTAAGCTGTTTGTGCAATTTATCCAGTATCACACAGAGAACTTAAATACTGAATACTTTAGTCTGGTCCTCACCATTTTCATTACAGACTATTGGCTGTGATGTGGAACTTCTCTTGTTTGACATCATTGGTGGGGTAGAAGTGTGAAGTCTTTTTTATAGCCTTTCACAGATTGTCAGCTTTGGCTATAAACTCTTCACAAATACAGTAATAGTATGACTGACATTTATTGTGCTTGACAGTTGCTTCCTTCCCTAAATTAGATTTTGATCAAATTACTTCAACTTCAACGTTAAAAAAACAATGGCTGCACTTAAAATGTTGGAATGCTTGAATGTAACTTAAGGATGTTTGCTTCTGAGAAAGGTGTGATGGATTCAAAAATCATTTGTCAACATTTGTTTTCCATCTTGCAAGATTTTAAAGAAAACAGTAAAAGCCTTTCCAAGTTCAAAGCTTAAGGTTACAGGACCTCAGAATTAAATATATGCTTTAAGACAAACACTTGTTTGTGAGATTAGGACAGTCTGTTTTCTATGGGTCTTCAAGATACAACTGATCACTCAATTTCGTTCTTGATAAACACTATTTTCATAATTAATTCTTTTCCAGGCTGATGATATCCGAGCGCTGTTGATTGATGCAATGCCTCCAGACGCCTTGCCAACCTGCTTTAAACCTCAAGCTACTGTAGTTAGTGCCTCTGTCATTTCACCAGCATCAACTCCTTCCTGTCTGTCTGCTGCCAGTAGCATAGATAACCTTGCAGGACCTCTAGCAGAAATCGCTGTAGGAGGCGCATCAAATGCTGGTGACGGAGCAGCAGGAACAGAGAGGAAGGAAGGAGAAGGTAACTTTGTTGATTGTGCAGACATACCGAGACTGAAATCCTAAACACACTTAGTCAACACCTGTTATAGGAGGAAGTAGATTGTGGTCCTCTAAATGTGGATTGACTCCAGCTTCCATCACATATTATTATTATTTACTTAATTTTTATACCACCTTTCTCCCCGTGGGTACTCAAGGTAGCTAACAACCATACATTTTGATCCCATTTAAAACAAAGTGAAGACAAATATTTTAAAATAGAATTAAATAGTATTGTGTGAGTTAGGTTAAATATAATTAAAATATAATATACAATTTAAAATACATTTTAAAGCACACAATTCCCATTGAATCTTGGTTCTTCCTGGTGTGTGGTTTTTTTTGTTTTGTTTTTTGTTTGTTTTTGTTGGTTTTTTGTAAGTGATGAATTCCTGATTTTGAATTTTAAATTGGTGAAAAGTCTTCTTGTTTTCTTCTTGCTGCAAGTTTGGGGAACTTGATTAATGTACGAGAAACTTGTAAGACATTTTTAACAAAGTATTGTGATAAAGGTTGCTTAGAGGGAGCCAATATATTTTTGCATGTTTACTTTGCTGCCAGCCATTGGAAAACGCTCTACATGTAAGTTGGTATAAAGTGACAGGATGATACGTATGGCAAAAAGATCTCATCCCCATATAATGCAATTTAAATATATGCTGGAGTTGTTATGCTAGATGCCACAGTTGTGCTACCAATTGCTCAAAAGGCCGACATCCTCAAGCTCACCCATTGCACAATGGTGTGTTAGATCTCTAGCCACTCAAGAGAGAGAGAGGAGGTTGTGTGTGTCTTAGCAGATCAATTTGCTGCACTGGAAATGCACTTGGATAAGCTGACAACACACAAGTGTTTGTGCAAAGGTTTTTATATTGGTGTAGTCCCCTGACCATAGATTTTAGCCATAAGCTTTAACGTGGAATGAAAGAACTAGCAGGAGGCTGTGTTTCTTGATTTACTGAGTATGTATTTGCTCATTGTCACATATAAAAGATTCCTTGACAAACGTCTCTTATTTTTTAGTTGTTGGACTTGACATGAACATCAGCCAGTTCCTGAAAAGCCTTGGTCTGGAACATCTTCGGGACATCTTTGAAACAGAACAGGTATCATTTATCTCATGCTAAATCACTGTTGTAATTGTGTACATATTATGCGCAGAAAAGAAACAGCAGGAAGTTTTGGGTAAAAAGGGCTGATTCTACTATTTGACAAAATGAGATGGCCACCAAAAGGGCTCCAATTGTTTGCTAGTTACTCTGCTGTTGTTGTGAAATTTTTGCTGCCAGGGATGGGGAGAGAAGTTTGTGGGATTTTCTGCATCATGTATTAAATTAATTTGGCTGGTTTTAGGACTGTATGCCTTTATTTGGGCAGTTGGGGAGGGAGCATTTGCTGTTCCACCTCAGATCAATAAAATATTTCAGGACAGTTCTGGATCTGAAGAAAGAAGGCTTTGGGTTTTAGCTTCTCAGTCAGTAACCTCACATCCTTTCCGAACTGAGGCAGCATTGAAAAGCAGATGGTTTTATGGTGAAGCATCTGCTGTTCAAGGCAATAAATGAAAAAAAGCAAAAAACCATTTAAATAGGTCTTTGGATCCCAGCCAATGGATTGAATCCAGATTTGTGCTCAGCATAGTCCTGCTTGTGCTAGAGGAAGAGAGAAAATTAGCAATATTTGCCAAGATGAGCTCTACAGAGTTGGGGAAGCTTGGGAGTTATAGGAAAAAGAGGGATTTGGTGACTTTGTTGCCCTGCTGATTTGTCTAACTGGGGAGCCCCTGCTAGACTCCATTTAGTCCATGAATGAAAGAACCCCTTCCAGTCAGAAAGGCATGACTCCACCTGACTCATTGAATTTTGATTATATTGATGGAATTTAAAGATCCTTGTAGGCTGTAATACCGCATGAGGGATTATGTAGAAGAAGCAATAATCCACTCTAGCTCTGGCAGAGTACGGATCAGTCTACTTTCCTTTCATTTCTCTTACTTTGCCAGGTAATTCAGATAGCAACTTTGTCCTGACTTAAAAAGAAAGAAGCAAATTGTTTTTAAACAATGCCTTTACATTTCATTAGCTATTCTTTTTTTCTAGGCATTAATTCAGTAGGGTGAACAAAACCTAGAATTTTTCAAAACAAACAAATTCAGGTACCTAGTTCAGTTTTCAAAATTATCCACTAAGCCAGGAGCACAAAACCAAAATTGACTGGAGGATTTGTGAGGCAGCTCCATCAGATAAAAAGAGCCAGTATTAATAGGCCTTAATCCCAGTTCCTTATGCTAGTGGGATTTACATAAGTGTTGGTTTAACATTCAGCAGTTGATTGATTGGATCTGCTTTAATTGGAAGTGGTAATTGGATTTCGGCCAGAATGTTTTATGTGCACCTCCCCCCGCCCTCCCCGATGTCAGAAGTTAATACAGCTTGAGTATCCCTTATCTGAAAAGTTTGGGACTAGACGTGTTTTGGCTTTTAGAATACCTGTATTTGCATATACGTGCATAATGAGATATCTTGGAGATATAGCCCAAGTCCAAACATGAAATTAATTTATATGTTGGAAGGTAATTTTATACAATATATATATGCACATGAAACAAAGTTTGTAGATATTGAACCATTAGAAAGCAAAATATCACTATCTCAGCCAACTATATGGGCAATTTTGGAGTATTTTAGATTTTGAAATGCCAGATAGAGGATAATCGGCCTGTACTCTCAAATCCAAAAAGTTAAATTCTCCCCTGAATCTTTTACATTAAGATTTCTCAAAACATTTGAATAATATTGTAATAACAAAAAGTGGTAACTCTTAAGTTCTGGACGCTGATTTTTTGTCAAAAACCTTTCAATTTATACACAAGTATACATGGTAGATCAAAGAAAATGTTCAGGAGCCCTCTTCAGTGCACAAAATAAAATGATATGGTGAAATTATCTATATTGTTTCCCTCTGCTTTCATTTGCAGCCTCTGACACTGAAATATATTTTCTCATGAGAGCGTTTGATAACTATGTTTATTTGATTATTAATTTTATTTTTTTTGATTTAGTACGGTAAATATTAATTTATAAGGATGTTATGTTGTTTGATGTATGTGGTTGTCATTTTATTAAGGCGTTGAATGTTTGCCTTTCATTTTTGTTTGGAAGCTGCCCTGAGTTCCTTGGGGAGATAGGGCATCCTATACATAAATATTATTATTATTATTATTGTTGTTGTTGTTGTTGTTGTTGTTGTTGTTGTTATTGAGGAATGAAAGTTCTGCATCACAGTAGTAATTAATTGGCATAGTTAATAACTATGTGGGGATTTAGAAATAACTGTTGTAGAGAAGTAGCTAGACCCAGAAATATATACTAAATTGATGGTAACAAAGTACTTGTGAGATTTCAGTAATAGTAGTGTGCTACCATGAATTTATAGAGAATTTCAATATGGTCCTTGGCCAAGACAACAATCTGCATTTTGAAAAGATTAAAGACCACAATGGGGAAAGGGGAGAAGGAAGGGCAGTGGTGGATGAATTCATTGAAGTAATCTATTGAAAATTCTGCATGGTGTTTTCCAAGGCTAATGTTTTATAATCACCCACTTTTGTTCTTCTGGACTATTTAGATTACCTTAGATGTATTGGCAGATATGGGACATGAAGAGCTGAAAGAAATTGGCATCAATGCCTATGGGCATCGTCATAAGTTAATAAAAGGTGTAGAGAGACTTCTGGGTGGGCAGCAAGGTGAGTTCCTTAAGTCATACGACATTGAAGGTTAACATGACATAATTGAAATAGTTTCTAACACATTTTAATATTGTAATTTCTAATGTGTAATTATTAAGGATAGGAAGATTTCAAGGGTTGTAAAGCTGCTTTGCACTCTGTCTGCCCCATCGGAACTTGGAGAGCCATTCCCCAACTTGATTTAAAAAAATAGAGATAAGATTGATCTAGAACAATGGTGGCGAACTTATGGCATGGCATCTTTCCTCAACCCCCCAGCCCCTTGGTTTGGCCACTTTATCTCTAAAAGATTCTCCATCACTGGTCTAGAATTTACCCTCCATCTTATGTAGGGAATAGTTGAATTACAACATATTTTCAAACTCTTGTAGTCCATTTTAGGTGTAGGACCATGGTCCCCAACCTGTGGTCCATAAGAACTAAAATGTGGTCTACACCCTAGCAGTGAGAGCAACTGGTCTCGCGAAACCCTCATATAGTTCCAAGGCTTATTAAATATTGTTTTCTGTGGATGAGCAGATGGTGACTACTGGATGCCATGTGGTCTGTATCAGAAACTAGAGCTGATGTGGTCTGTCCAATGCAGTTTTCTGAATCAGCACCCCAAATAATCCAACCAAATCTAAAGTTGACCAAAAACTGATTTGTAACCCTTTTGGTTTTAAAGTTGGAAAGTGGTCTCTGGTCAGAGTGGTAAAAAAAAAAGGTTGGGAACCACTGGTGTAGGAGAATCCTTTTTGAAAAATAGGAAAGGACTTGGGAGTAAACTGTTTGCTCTTTATTGTCCTCCAGTGTGTAACATCAGAAGCTATCTTGGGGAGCCTTATGCAGCCCACCTACCTTCAATTTATGTGAAACATAAATTAGGTTGATCTTGGCCAAGTTGTATTCTGCTTAAGATGAATATAAATGCAAATCATCTTCGAATAAACCATGTCAAGAAAACTCTAACAACAGCCTGCCACCTCATCCACTATCTTATATTAATTCATCTAACCACAAAGAGTCACCAGTCAAATTATTCCTAAGACCTGTTCTATTATCCATTGTTGGTATATCCATTGTGCTTCTTGTTGCTGTAATTGTAGAACAAAAACATTAAAATGGATTTGTGTGGTTTTTAATAATTGGTTTTAATGCATATCTGTTTTTTTCTTAACTTTTATGGTTTAATGTATATGCTTATTGTTATTATATGTTTGTTCATACGGCATTGAATTGTTGCCAATTTGTAAGCCACTCTGAGTCCCCTTTGGGGTGAGAAGGGCGGGATATAAATATAGTAGATAAATAAATAACTAAATAAAATGTGAATAAAGCGTTAAATTGTAACTCTCTGGTAGAATGCAAAATATATCCCAATAAGAATTTTTAAAGTCTCTAATGGATTTGAGCTACTCCGGAAAACCTCTTTCATGTAATACATTGTTTTGTAGTTCTTTGTGTGGATGTGGAGATGTAATTATTTGTCTCTTTCCCCTTTTATAGGCACCAATCCATACTTGACTTTCCACTGTGTCAGCCAGGGAACTATTCTTATAGACCTTGCTCCTGATGACAAAGAGTATCAGTCTGTGGAAGAAGAGGTAAAATTATGTCTAAAAAGGCAATTAAGACTGACACGTTGTGCCAATGGCACAGTAGCTCCACACCATTAAGAAGATGAAAATTTAGTACAAATGTAATCTTGCTTGATTAACTTCGATTGAGTGAATCTGTCCTACTAATCAGAACATTCTGAGAACTTTTTTACCCCTCTGCTTTTGTGTGTGTGTGTGTGTGTGTGTGTGTGTGTGTCAGGGGCAACTTGAAAAACTGCAAATTGCTTCTGGTGTGAGAGAATTGGCCATCTGCAAGGACATTGCCCAGGGGATGCCCGGTTGTTTTACCATCCTGTGGGGGGCTTCTCTCATATCCCTGCATGAGAAGCTGGGGCTGACAAAAGCAGTTTACCCCACTCCCTGGGACAAGGATTTAACCCATTGCACCACTGGAGGCTCTATCCCTCTGTTGAAACATGGCTGTTCAAAATCCTTCAAAATGTGTTAAAATATCCAGCATGAGAGGAATTAAACGTGGCCCTCTTCTCTCACTCCACATTTGCTCAGCCACTTGGAGTGTCTGTTGCCTTACGTTGTATTCATTTCTATGCTTGATGTAATCTGACAATCGTCAAAATGTTTAGGGTGATTATATACTGATTATATACTGATATATTAGAACCATGAGGACTGTACCAGCTTGTAAGGAGCAAGCCATTGGCAAGAAGTTTCTCTATTACTGAGTGAACTAAATAAACACTTAGTCCAGTGGTTGTCAATCTGTGGGTCCCCAGATGTTTTGGCCTTCAACTCCCAGAAATTCTAACAGCTGGTAAACTGGCTGGGATTTCTGGGAGTTGTAGACCAAAACACCTGGGGACCCATAGGTTGGGAACCACTGCTCTAGGGACATCTTTGCCATGTTTTTGGCCAGCCTTGGACCATTCCAGTCCCAGAAGATATTTGTATATCAAGTGATCCAGAAGTGACTTCCAGGCGGCTCCCTGGTTGGGATTTCTGGGAGTTGGAAACCAAACCACCTGGGGACCCACAGGTTGCGAACCACTGACTTAGTCCTTATTGACTAAAGATAAATAATCAAGCAACTTCATCAAGCCTCCTACTTCTAGTACCCCTGTAGCCTGTATTGGAGTTGTATTTTCACCACATATATTCCTGCCCAGTGTCAGAAAGTCTACAGAAATGGAAAGGAAGTGGCTTCATTAATATTCTGCTGAAAGCAGGCATTAAAAGCAAGAATACTTTTTCCTATCTGAGTAAGATTACACTATGTAACATGATTTTTGCTCCTGGGTTATAAATGTCATTTCCTAATTGGTTCTATCATAAAAGCATGGGAAAAGTTTATTAACTACAAAAAAGTTATTTTTGCGGAGCATCCTGCAGCACATTTTGCTGTAATTTTTCAATGAATATCACATAATGTCTCAACCAATTCAACTTAGTTTGTGGCAGCCACAAAAAACAAAGTTTCTGGATTAGAACAACGACTTTTAAAGTAAGTACTGCACAATTAAACAGGAAATAACAATTTAAAAACAGGAACAGATCCCCCCCCCCCAAATGTTGTTACAAAGTGTTATTTAGGATAGGAGGTTAGAGAATGGGAAGGTTTTCTCTATTTTTGTGAGTAAGCTCTGACCTAATCCTGTTGTGATTTGAGTAAACCCGGTGGCATTTACCTACTTGTTCTTACCATTCAACAGTTGATTGAATTATCTACTCCAGTTGTGAGTAACCAACAAGATGCCAGCTGCTGTGTGTTACAGAGAAACGATTACCTCCTCCTCATAGAAGAAAATCCCTTTCTTCTAAAGAGACTTCTTTTTTGCGTATTGCTGCTTCCTTTCTGGGATGAGCAGCAAGGAGGACATACAGACCTTCCACACTATTACCTTACTTTAGTTAACAAAATAAAACACTGCTTCCATATTCTCTCCCCTCCGGTGGAAAGGAGTGGAAAGGACAATAGATGTGAAAGAAATGATGCATCCTTCCTTTCTATATCTTGGCTTTTTTGAGAACTTCAGTTGCCTCTAAATACTTGACTAAGAGTACCCAATCAAATTAAGATGCATGCAGGATTTCTGAAATGTGACGTTCTGAGACTCTTACACTGTAGCCTTTAACTCTTTCACAGATGCAAAGCACCATCAGGGAACACAGAGATGGTGGTAATGCTGGGGGGATCTTCAACAGATATAATGTCATCAGGGTAAGTTTCAATATCTTTGCAATGCCATGTAAAATAATAGTTATCAGTGTTACCAGTATTAATAAATGAGTCCTGTGTGGCAAGATAGAGAGAACCCCCACCAAGGCACTTAATACAGAGCACATTTAGAAAGGGTGAGGTGTTTCAATCTTAAAACATCCCTGTGGTTCTCACATTTGGCAAAACTGAACATCTTTTTCTTAGAAAAAAAACTATGTATGGTGCATCTTACCTGTAAATATTTTCTCTTTCAGCTAGTGTTTCTCTCTTTTATCCTTTTATAGATTCAAAAGGTTGTAAATAAGAAGCTGAGGGAGAGGTTCTGTCATAGGCAGAAAGAAGTTTCAGAAGAAAATCATAACCATCACAATGAGCGCATGCTCTTTCATGGTATGTAGAGTGGCTCTCTTTGGATTTCTTGCCAGACTAATTTTGTATCCCACACTATATTGCCAATCCTTTGCTTGAACCTGATGTCTTCCCAATCATTGCCATAAAATGAGAAAGAACTAAGATTTCAGAAATGGAGAAGTGTCGAAGAGAGAGTTTTGTACAGCTATCGGAAAAAGAATATCCATTATATTCCAGAGAGAAGCATGGCATATGTTGTTTCTGAGCAATTGCTACAGGATATCTTATGGGGTGAGTGGGCTTATTAACAAAAGACCCTCCTCATAAATGCACAGCAGAGCAACTTAGCAGCAGCAGCAGCGTGACCCAGCACCAGTAGCCCAAAGTGATAGAAAGAACAAAAACACAGAGACCCATGTTATCTCTTCCATAGGAGGCTTTTCTTTATAGTAAAGTAATACGGTTGCACTATTTACAAGAACTAGGTTTCCATAACACAAATAAACAAATACATAGTAGCTTTGCATGCAGCAGTCTTCACACTGCTGCTTTCTCACATGGAGTTTTCTCACACTGAGGTTTACCTCACATTCCTCAGGACGACACTAGCTTTGGCCCACTGACTCTAACAGGCTTCAGCCTACTCACTCTCGGAACAACTCTAGCTTTGGCCCACTGACTAACAGGCTTCGGCCTACTAATTCTTTCAGTGCCTGACTCACACTTTTGTAATAAAAATATCTAGTTAATATTTAATATTCCTGACAATTTCCACAGATATTAAAAAGGGTTAAGAATCCTGGTTTATCAAGATTATCTATGTGCCCTGGCAGTCCCTATCAGACGAGGGTATTGGTTGAATATTATCCCTAACCATGGAGGCAGAACGGATACCTTTCAATTGTGCAAATGAGGACAATGCAGGATGGTCTTTCTATAGAAAAAAAGCCCAAACTCTCTGAAAGCTCGCTAAGAAGAAAAGTAATATTGAATGTATAACTCTGACTTTAAGTTGCAGCTCTGCTTATTCCTGAAGCATGCCTCAACAAGCCAGCCCGCTTAGGCCTTCTGCATATTTAACATGATCTAAAGTGGGCTGGCATTTTAATCAGATATTGTAAAGCATGTACTTGGGAACTTGTTGAAATTTCAAAGCTTGGGAAATAAGTACTTGGATATTGGTTGAATGTATATGGCTGAATTTGAATAAATATATTTGCATGCCAACCACCAAATGTTGTGGGATAGAATTCTTATATCATATGCAATAACAGAGTTTTTTAATGTTTTGTTCCAGGGTCACCTTTTATTAATGCTATTATTCACAAAGGATTTGATGAAAGGCATGCTTACATTGGAGGAATGTTTGGAGCTGGCATTTACTTTGCAGAAAATTCCTCTAAAAGTAACCAGTATGTATACGGAATTGGTGGAGGTACAGGGTGCCCCACACACAAAGACAGGTCCTGTTACATCTGCCACAGGTGAGTTTCTGCTGAGCTCTATTGTTATTTGGTTTACATTGGGTAAATGGGGTAAAGTGGTTGAGATAAAATCAAAAAAGAAATGTCACATATGTCACATATGGGAGGAATAGAAATGGCAAAATATCTCTATGATGTTAGAAATAGGTAGTCACGCAAGAATTAAAAAACAGGGAGCTTTTGACTCAGTGGTAGGTTTTATTTGGAATGGAACCAATGCTTTCTTCTTATCAAATGGAGCAGTTTATGATACAATTTTTGCTTCATTGCATTTCTGTCTCAATGCAAGATGCTAACCGGAAGGCTTTGGTTTTTCATTAGATCCATTACTTAGTTTGATATTTTCATAGGACAACAGACTTGTTCATCCCTCTCTTAAACAGATTTCCGTATGGGAGTAAAAATTTGGTAATCAGCATTTCTTTAAACAGTGCAAAGTAGTGCTAGTCAAAGCGACAGTCCCTAAGACATTGGCTGCAATTTTCCAGAAAAGAAAGAAGTGTTGTCAAAGGCTTTCATGACCGGAATCACTGGGTTGTTGTGAGTGTTCCGGGCTACATGGCCATGTTCCAGAAGCATTCTCTCCTGACGTTTCACCCACATCTATGGCAGGCATCCTCAGAGGTTGTGAGGTCTGAGACCCCTCAACCTCTTAGGATGTCTGCCATAGATGTGGACGAAACGTCAGGAGAGAGAATGCTTCTGGAACATGGCCATACAGCCCGGAAAACTCACAGCAACCCAAAGAAAGAAGTGATTGTACTGAATGTGTACAACTAGAGTGTCAGGCCCTAGCATATTGGGGTAGGCATGCTGGCCCTCACAGCAGTGTAATAGATGAAGGTGAACATTAAATATCTCTAGAAAAGTATAATTAGAACATGCAGTGGAAAGAGATTGAACTATGTATACAAACTATTTATACAAACTACAAGAAAGGAGATTCCATCTGAACATTAGGAAGAACTTCCTGTGAGAGCTGTTCAGCAGTGGAACTTTCTGCCCCAGAGTGTGGTGGAGGCTTCTTCTTTGGAGGCTTTTAAACAGAGGCTGGATGGCCATCTGTCAGGGGTGCTTTGAATGCAATATTCCTGCTTCATGGCAGGGGGTTGGACTGGATGGCCCATGAGGTATCTTCCAACTCTGTGATTCTATGATTCTATGAAATATCCTCAACCTAAAAAAGGAAATTACATATATGCCCTAATCAATTGTGATAGATTTTTTAAAGCTTATTTTAATTATTTTATAAAACTGGAAAACCCAAGATAAATATCTCCCAATCTTTTTATTCCATGCATGATTTTTATTTTTCTGCATATAAAATTACTTCATTTTCCATTCTTTTCTCCTTTCTTCCTCCAGACAAATGCTTTTTTGTCGCGTGACACTGGGAAAATCTTTCTTACAATTTAGCACCATGAAAATGGCCCACGCACCCCCTGGGCATCACTCAGTCATTGGCAGGCCAAGTGTAAATGGACTTGCATATGCAGAGTATGTAATCTACAGAGGAGAACAGGTAGGTGGTAAAGTAAAATATGTTAGTATACATGAATTGATATACATTGTCTACAGTCAGTCAAGGCTACGTCATGATTTACACAACAGGCCTAGATCTACATATAACACTCACGTTACACTAGTATTTTCCACATTAAATTTTATAGAGTGCATCTCTCTTTACATTGGGCCAATATGTATATTGGATATGAGGCCGTGGTAATGCAGTGCAGGAAATCTGCTGACAGGAGGGTTAGCAGTTCGAAGCCGCAAGTCAGGGTGAGCTCCCAGCTGTCAGCTCTAGCTTCTGCCTACCTAGCAGTTTGAAAGCATGTAGTGCAAGTAGATCAATAGGTACCACTTCAGCAGGGAGGCAAAAGGGCACCCCATATAGACATGCCGGCAACACGATCGGAGAAGTCTATGGACAACAGGCTCCTCAACATGGAAAAATGGAGCAAGAGTACCTCCCCATGCCCGGAGTTGAGCATCACTTCCAGATGCCAGAGATGGAAGGGGAAGGCTTTTAACTCTGTCTGTATATTGTATGTTGTTGTTTACTATGTTAAAAGGCATTGAATATTTGCCATATATATATATATATATATATATATATATATATATATATATATATTTATATTTATTTATTTATTTATTTATTTATTTATTTATTTATTTACTATTCTTGTATACCGCTGTATCTCAAGCCCGAGGGCGACTCACAGCGGTTTCCAGACAGTAAACAACAAAAGACAATAAAAACAGCAGCAATCAATATACCATAGCAGTTAAACTACACAATTCCATTACTAGCAATAACAACAACAATACACAGTTATCACAAAAACCCACCCCCGATCGCCTCGTCATCCAAAACGTGATCCAAATTCATCGTCCATTGTTCCGTTCCTATGTTCAAATTACCAGAATTGCACTAAATTACTCAAATGCCTGCACAAACATCCAGGTCTTCAACTTTCTACGGAATGTCATGAGAGATGGTGCCAGCCTAACATCTACAGGAAGGGCGTTCCACAGCCGAGGAGCCACCACCGAGAAGGCCCTATCTCTCGTCCCCGCCAACCGTGCTTGAGAGGCTGGCGGGATCGAGAGCAGGGCCTCCCCGGAAGATCTCAAAGTCCGGGTGGGTTCATAGGCCGAGATGCAGTCAGCTAGGTATCTTGGGCCGGAACCGTTTAGGGCTTTATAGGCCAGTACCAACACCTTGAATTGGGCCCGGTAGCAAATCGGCAGCCAGTGGAGCTGGTGCAACAGGGGGGTTGTGTGCTCCCTGCGCTCCGCTCCTGTTAGAATCATGGCTGCCGCGCGTTGGACTAGTTGCAGCTTCCGGGCCGTCTTCAGGGGCAGCCCCACGTAGAGAGCGTTGCAGTAGTCTAGGCGGGATGTGACAAGAGCGTGTACCACCGTGGCCAAGTCAAAATATAAATAAAGTGTATTATTATTATCATTTAAAGAGAGGTAACGCTTCTGTACGTTATGAAGCAGACATGTTTCCTACTTGCTTTTGCTATCTGTTTCTGGCCACAAGGGTATAAAATATAGGGCTACCCTCAGTTTGAGTCCCTTGAATCAAGGTCAGGTTTTCTTCAGGCATAAGCATTAATAGTATCTGTTTTCATAGTATAGTTTCTTGTTTTCATAATAAGTGCTATAATTCTTAACTTTTATGAACTTTTATGAAAATTGGAGAACATAAGGGATATGAACCCCATTTAATTATGGTTCTTGAGAGTGATGTAACTGGTTGTTCAGGAATGAGAAGACTTGGGTTCAAACCTTGTTTGTAATGGTCACTGAGTGACCTTGAGTCAGTTACACTCTCTCAAATAAATCATGGTTAACAGCAACATGTATTACTTCTATGTGGTGTCACTCTGTGCACCAATGAGGGGGATTAGATTATTCATATGGTTAGTGCCATCGTTACTTTTTGTACATAACTGTAGTCCCTGAAACATTGCAACCCAGTAGCCTATGGAGGACGAGCAAATTTTCATCATCCTGTGGTATTTTTAGCTTTAGTAGTCCTCTCTGAGCTGCTGAACTTGCTGATCGAAAGGTTGGCGGTTCGAATTAGGGGAGCGGGGTGAGCTCCCACTGTTAGGCCCAGCTTCTGCCAATCTAGCAGTTTGAAAACATGTGAATGTGAGTAGATCAATAAGTATTGCCTTGGCGGGAATGTAATGGCGCTCCATTCAGTCATGCCAGCCACATGACCTAGGAGGTGTCTACAGATAACACCGGCTCTTTGGCTTAGAAATGGAGATGAGCACCACCCCCCAGAGTTGGATATGACTGGTTTTTGTGTGTTTCCCTTGCCCATCCAGTGCACCCATCCAAATGCACCATTCATTGCAGGAAACAATAAGTAAACAACAATGAGGGAGATAAGGTGCTATGGATCAAAGTAAGGTGATGCCTTACGGTTGAAGAAATACGATAAGGCAGTACTTCTCAACCTTGGGTCCCCAGATGTTTTTGACCTACAACTCCCAGAAATCCGAGCCAGTTTACCAGCTGTTAGGATTTCTGGGAATTGTAGGCCAAAAACATTTGGGGACCCCAGGTTGAGAACCACTGCGATAAAGGAATGTAAGAAGGACCGAAAAACCAGAAATATCATGCTTTAGGGCAGGGGTAGGGAACCTTTGGCCCTCCAGCTGTGGTGGACTTCAACTCCCACAATTCCTTGAGGCTCGGCATTGGGCCAAGGTAAGCCTTTGGGGCGAATGCCGAGCCTCAAGGAATTGTGGGAGTTGAAGTCCACCACAGCTGGAGGGCCAAAGGTTCCCTACCCCTGCTTTAGGGTGATGGTCAGTAAAAATAAGCATAGACTGATAAAGGTGAGTTGAAATGCATTCTCCTCTTCTTTGAAATGATTTAACATAATGTACAAAGCCCTTCCTTGTTACAGTGACATCTGATTTGGATTTCTTGGCTTCTTTTTAGGCTTACCCAGAGTATCTGATCACATACCAAATTGTAAAGCCAGATACTCCCTCACAGACAGCAACGGCTGCAGAACAGAAGACCTAGTAAATGCTGGTTCAGAGAGAGAAATGAGGTGAACTGAAATAACTTATGGACTGGACGGAGGACATTAGTTTCAAACAGCAGTGTGTGAAAATTTTGTCACTCTGGAACTAAGCTGTATGTGTTTTATAAAGCATTGCTCTATAAATGAATATGAGTAACTGATACATACTCAATTGCTACTATTCCTTTTGAGGAAATGTTTACAAAGGTTTGCCTTTTACCAACATATCTCAGGCGCACTTTCCCTGCAGTTGCCATGTGTGTAGTGACATCGTTGCTTCAATCCAGATGTTTGGGAACATTATTTAACAAGCAGGGCTATGCCATGACCCTTTTTTAAGAAAGAAAAAGAATTTCCAAGGCCCCTTTTAGGTTTTACAGTGCCCGTTGTGGTGATACTAACCCATATCCCATTCTCAACATTCAGAACTGCCATTGTTATTTTAAAGTCCTTAGTTGGCTATTTAAATCCCCCCCTTTATTATGAAAATGAGCCAGGCCCTTCATGAGTATATTTTTGCACAAAGTCAAGTTGACTAAAATCAATTAACAATGCAATAGGAATTTCTTACCCAAGAAGGTGTTAGAAGAGAGCTGGTTCTTTGGTCTGGGACTCTTTTTGCACTTTTTACGAACTTTTCTGTATGTTACTAGCATAAACATTTAAGGTAGAGCCTCATCTTTTGTCCTTGCCGAGTTCCTCCTTGGGAAGAATTCATCCTGTTCACGGAGCAGCCTCTTGGCCCGCTCTCTTCCTTCTGGAAAAGTTCCCTGCTTTCTCCTGGCTACAATACTAGTAGACTGTCCTTGATAGAAGACTCTGTGAGAGAACTTAGGTAAGGACACATGTTATAAATGTTGGAAAGTATCTGATAAAAAGCAAAAGGAACTTGGAAAGCATGAAAAGGCAAGCATACCTGCGTTGAAAGGTCTGCCTTGATGTGTTTTCTGTCTAGAAAGAATCTAGGAATATGTCCAAGTTCAATCACTTCTTTATGTTGTCACTTCCCTTCCCTTTAAACTCTTCCACGATCACAGAAGGAGTAGTACACAAGTGAATGAAAACCCTGTGTGGTTATTTGAACTTGATGTACCCTCTTTCCTCATACACTCTTCCCCAAAATGAGGACCAGGAAAGAGATTTTGACTTACCCCAGATTTTGTGTACAGTCCCAGAAAGAGAGTCTTTTCTTTCCACAGAGAGGCTGTCAGGGCCTGAGCATTGTCCATTCAGCTTGCTTTAAGGCCTCTCACTCTCAGTAGGAAGAATACATTTTATTTTATATTGTGCATGGATTCAGTCACATGCTGTATCAGCACCTATCTACTGAATTGGCATGCAAGCCTATTTTCTCCAGTGCAGACTGGCATTTAAATGCCGATATAGAGCATAGTTTGCATTAATCTTGATCTCAGACGGATGCTAGTTGCTTTCTCACTCTAAATTTTGCCCCCATAAATCTTGTTTATTGAAAAGCTTAATATTCCCCAGAGAAACAGCTTTTTTACAATGCAGAAATTTTAGTTTTAAAAGAGTTGAAAATTAAGTAGTATTAGGGATTTATGAATAGTTTAGGTAACAGAGAACGATTACAATATTAGAAACACAACTTTACAAAAACCTATCAACAGCCAAAGGATCGCTCATATTACAGATCTTCCAGTCAAGCTTTTTATTCATTGAAAGTAAAAAAAGAGATAGACTTATTTACAATTATTTTGTGAAATGTACTGGCATCTGCTTGGAAATGGGAGCAAAAAAAAGTACCTGGTGACTCCACAAGCACAAAAACCAAACCCAAATAAATTTTTTGAAAAATATCTTTGCCAAGAATAATCATGTAAATGTTGACAGTTGTCAAGCTCACAGCTTGACTCAAGCTGGCGAAATGCTTTCTAAAGTTACTGGAGAGACCAGATGTGTAACACCTTTTGACAATTTGTGAATCTTTTCCTTTGGCTTTTGTTCTTGCCGGCCACTGGTTGGGCTTAATGGTTTGCAACGCATAAGGCTTCAGAGTCCAAGGCTGGCCAGGCTAGTTTCTGCATTAAATACATGTCAAATTTGTGAAGGGATGGAGGGGTTCATTGTGAAAAGCAGGTGGATATTCATGTGGAGATTTCTGTTTTTAACTACAGCTGGGGGACGATGTGCCCATTTATTGCAAATAAATGTGAAAGTCTACATTCTGCCAACTTCATGTAGATGTTAATTGGAACTCGGCTGTCTGTGTCGTTAAGCCAAATGGTTAACATGGATTTTGAAATTCAGTGTTTCTCTCCAAGGGACGATTCTGTGGTTGTCTTTTTCCTCCAGTGTGATAGTTCAACTAATGAAATGTTTTAGATTTCATGTAGAGTCCTAAACTTCCAGAACCTCAAACTGTGACCCTGATCTTTTGAACTGCCAGTGTTTTGTAACCAATGTTTTTTGTGCAGAGTAAAAGGTGCTGTGCGAGGAATTCCATTTGCAGTGGCTTTTGTCTTGTAGTAATGTAAATCTGTCGATACCTCCCTGAACAGACATTGAGAAATATGCATGCATGTTTACTTAAGTCTTCAGAGATCCCATATCCTAACATGAAAAGTCAAAAGCAAGATGTAAATCTAGTTTTCTCTGTCTGTCAGAGTAACACAACAGCCACATTTTCCTGACACAAGATTTGATACTTTCTTTTGGAATAAATAACCCAAGAACCTATCAAGTATTATGGACATACTTTTTGTCTTACTAAAAGGGTTTTTTTTTTTTGTCAGGAGTGACCTGAGGAACTGCAAGTCACTTCTGATGTGAGAGAATTGGCCATCTGCAAGGACGTTGCCCAGGGGACGCCTGAATGTTTTGATGTTTTACCATCCTTGTGGGAGGCTTCTCTCATGTCCCCACATAGGGAGTTGGAGCTGACAGAAGGAGCTCATCTCGCTTGCCAGATTCAAACAACTGTTGGTCAGCAGTTCTGCCGGCAGAAGGGTTTAACCCTTTGCGCCACCTCCTGTGGGAGGTTCTCTCATGTCTCCGCATGAGAATCTGGAACTGACAGACAGGAGCTCACCTCGCTCCTCGGATTCAAATTGCTGACCTTTTTGTCAGCAGTCCTGCCGGCACAGTAGTTTAACCCATTGCACAACTGGGAGCTCCTTACTAAAAGTTAAAGTAACACTTCGTGCTGTTTTTAAATATATCAAGTATCTCCCCACTAGAACAGGAAATAAAAAACACAAAATATTTTCAGATTGGATAGTTATGCTCCCTTGGATCCCAGTTCCGGCAAATCAGACTGAATAAATGATGCAGTAAAAACAGTACAGTCAGTTCACTTTTTAGCTTTCTTCCACTAAAAGTGAAAAAGAGTGGTGCAAGAGAACTGAGCCTCATTCCTAGTTTTAGAATGGGATGAAGGCAAGAAGGCGCAATTAGTTCTGCGGGAGACTTGGAAGACAGCACTGAATGACAGAGAAAGCTTTCTCCAACTACCCTCCTTTGTGGCATATGAGGCATGTTGCCACATTTTCCCCCTAGCCATTTTAGCTCCATGAGAGCCTTTTTTGTTTTGACAACAGAAAATGACACAGAAAACACTTCCTGTTTCCTGTTTTTTCCCCTTGCAAAACTCTTTTGTGAGCGTAAAATGATGAAAATGCTATTGGGAGTTGGAAGACAAAACATTGTTTTGAATCTCAGGGCCCTAAGGACTATAAAAAACAGCCCCGGGAACCACCCTTTACCCAATCCTGTTTTAGATTCGCCTCTCGAATACAACACCAGTGGGACTCGACGTGTGCTTGTGTATGTGCCTTCTTCAATTTATGGTGGCCCATGAATTTCATAGGGTTTTCTCAGCATTACAATTTTAGAAACACTTACCTGGGTGGGCCTATCTAATTGCTTTTGATTTTTTAAATAACTAGAATTGTGACCTTAAATGTATTAGTTAGTTGAGGGCTATTGCTCACAATATGCAGCAAGAAGCAGTTTACCACTCTCTAATAAGGGCATTTATTCTATGGTGCATATGTTTGCAAACAAACATTTGTCACATTGTATTTTACATCTCTGGATATAGAGCTATAGATGTTTGAAGAATTTCATGCACACATTTCCCATTCTGGTTTCCAAAATGGGAGGGGGAATAGCAAAAAACTGCATTTTTTTTGGATGTTCAAATCATTCTATAGTTTAGCAGAGGTAGAAGAGCTAAGCTTGTGGCTTCATTTCTTTTTCATACATTCCTACTGATCCACCTGTATTAACTTGTTTATTAACATTGAAATCCACAAACATTTTGAAGAGTTTGCTTTATTCAAGTCAGCTGGAATATTTATTAAAGAAGGGACTCATTTGTTAAGGAATTTGCACCACAAAAGAGGTTTGTTTTTTGTTTTTGTTTTTTGTTTTTTGTGAATTCTCCGTTTGTGGGAACTAAAAAAGGTTTTATCCAACAAATATATGTAGAAATCAGGAGAGAAATGCAGGTTGAGCATCCCTTATCTGGAATGCTGCAATCCAAAATACTTCAAAATCTGAAATTGTCCAGAAGCCAAAATTCAGTGGCTGGGATTTGCTTTTTGATGGTTTATTGTACACCGTTTGTAAAAATGATGACCTTTCAGGCTTTGTGTATAACGTTTATCTGAAACATGCCATATATTCTTGAGTATAAGCTGAGATTTTCAGTGCAGTTTTTAGGCTGAAAAAGCCCCTCCCCCTTCAGCTTATATTGGGATCAGCTTATATGTGAGTATATACGGTGATTTTATTGGTATCTATTTTTTATTTTTGAAATTTGCCAGTAGCTGCTACATTTCCTACCCTTGGCTTAGACTCGAGTCAGTAAGTTTTCCCAGGTTTTTTGTGGTAAAATTAGGTGCCTCAGCTTTATATTCGAGTTGACATATACTTGAGTATCTTCATGTTGAGACCTGAGTAGAATCATAGAATCAAAGAGTTGGAAGGGACCTCATGGGCCATCCAGTCCAACCCCCTGCCAAGAAGCAGGCATATTGCATTCAAATCACCCCTGACAGATGGCCATCCAGCCTCTGTTTAAAAGCTTCCAAAGAAGGAAGCTTTTAAACAGAGAGTAGTCTCTTCAAGATATCTCATATTAGTATGTGTAGACACTAGGCATGGGAAATCCATGGTTCTAAATGGTTCTAAAAGTACTTACAAAACTAGGGGGCACTGGTGCTTTGCTTCCAAACTGTTTCTAAAGTTCTGTTGGTAAAAATTTCAGAACTCTAAAAGAACTTTCAAAATTTAGTTATAAATGGCAGTTCCTAATTGGTTCTGTCAAATTATAAAATTTTGAAAGTTCTGCTAGTTCTGAAATTTTCACCACCAGAACTTTAGCAATACTTTAGAAGCAAAGCACCAGCTTTAGAAACACTTTAGAAGCAAAGCACCAGTGCCCCTAGTTTTGTAAGTATTTTAGAACCATTTAGAACCATGGATTGCCCATGCCTAGTAGATACAGGTATTCCAAAATTTGGAGAGAAAAATATGACACCCAAAACACTCCTGGTTGCAAGCATTTTGGATAAAGGGTTACTCAACCTACACAATAATCTTATAAATATTTTTAAAGTTTTTTAAAAAAAACAGACCCTTTCAGCTGATGTCTAAAAAAACCACCTTTCCTATGCAGACTTTTATGGGTTCTCTGGATTTATTGACTTGGAAGTCTCAGCATGTACCAAAATAGTGCTTCACTAGGTGGTATCTCTTCTACAGGCTTGAACTCTATTCGACCTGCAGCAGATAAAACACAGCTTTCCATATTGTGCCTTTTTCCACTCTGCAGACCCAACTGCAGCTTCATTGGGCAAAAGAACAAACCCGAATCTTTGGCCATGGGAGTTCAGCTATGCATGCACAGTATACATTTCAATCTCATTATTAAATATTCTTTTAAGTTTTAGCAGGAGAGTCTGCTAGCAGGACCAACTGTGTTGTCATGTAGAATAAGCGTTTGGATACCATTTAGGAGGCAAATTGTTCTCACAATAATAAGATGCCAGTTGGAAGTTCTCCCTTGAGTACCAAAATGAATTGGGCCCATCTGCCTGCTGGCATTGTGGAATCACAGAAAATTTTCCAATGCTCCACAGTATCATAATTGTGTGGCTGATGGGTAGCTGTAATGGATACGAACAAGCTGCCATTTAGTGTTTTTAAGTTGGTTAAAAATGCAGTATAAAAGCATAACATGAAGCAGGCATGACATAAAGGAAAGATTCATATTTTCAGTACTTCAACATGTCCAGAACTACTGCTGGACTCTACTTCATCCAACCCCTATATTTGTGGCTATTAGCTGCGAGCATGTTCCTGATCACCTCCTTCTCCTGTTTATATGGGTCTGCTATACATGTGAACAAAACTAAATAAACTTTCAGTAGCTGCCACGTTTTTATGATGTGTCCCCAAGTGTCTGCAAGAATGTGAGTTCTAGTACGTATTTCATTGTCTTACTGTATTGTTACTGGTACAGATGCATTGTTTGTTAGCAACCAAGCAAGTGGCCCTTGAAGTGACATCATCTAAACGGGTAGGAACCTTGGATGCAAGCATTTGATTTATAGCTATTGATGAAGCTCTGGCAGCTGTTTGAAAGGGAATTCCCTAGTTTGCTTTCCTTAGGTGTAAAAAAAATTGTTCTCTAGGATGGCAGCCAGTAGAAGCAAAGCTCTTGAGTGTTCAGTAGTTTTCCAATAGCACTACAAAAAAGCAGAAGCTCGGGTTCCTGATAATCCTGCCATTACCATCTAAATGTAGAGCAGGAATGGCCAACTCTCTGGGATTAGACCATTGCCCATTTTTCACCCTTAGATGTCCTCCCCTACCCTCTAGTTTAGTGGTTCTCAACCTGTGGGTCCCCAGATGTTTTGGCCTTAAACTCCCAGATAGCCTAACAGCTGGCAAACTGGGCGGGATTTCTGGGAGTTGTAGGCCAAAACACCTGGGGACCCACAGGTTAGGAACCACTGCTCTAGGAACATTTTTGCCATGTTTTTTGGCCTGCCTTGGACCATTCCAGTCCCAGAAGATATTTTTATAACAAGTGATCCAGAAGTGACTTCTGGACGACTTCCAGATTTTTTAAAAAGGAGGGCATCTTTTGGATACAAAATGTATTAGATGTATTTGGGAGCAAAAAGCTCCCCTCCCCGTCAAATTGATCTTTTTTTATGGATTGGTTATGGTTCATTGCTATTTTTGCATAATTTTAACCTGGAACAGAATTGATTTTAGAACTGAACACACATCCAGGTTTCAATTTTTTCCAGTTAAATGTTTTGAAGAGTACACAACATTCTATTGAATGGGGCAAACATGGTTTGTGATCAGGTTATATTAGAGAAAGCAACTTCCAGTGGCAAGTCTTGTGACGTCCTATGTATTGTGACATCAATATTTTGAGGACCATAAGTCGAACATCAGTATTTTCCTCTTTCTGTCATGTTTATTGTGGTTTAGGGCTCAAACTGTGGAAAGAGAAGTTACCATGCATTTAAACTGAAATGTCTATGCTCATTGAGCACTGTTTTTGTAGTTTACTCATCACAGGGTATTTTTGTTTTTGTCCCGGTTCCATTCATTATTAGTAAAGGATTTTAAAGGCTTGTCTTTTTATGATGGAGTCCCAACACTTTTTTGTGGTATTTATTTGCCGTATTTTCAAAACTTCCAACAGGTTTTTAGAATTGGCAGCTTTATTGTACCATTACCCTATGTATACAGTCCCAGTATAGTTTTGACACCTGGTGATTTCCATAGACACTAAAGTCCTGGCTTTGCATTTTAAGAATTCCTGTGTAACTTGCTTGCATAGCTAGCCTTGTGTTCTTCATGCATACTGGCCAGAGAAGAACATAAGAAGTCCCCTTATGGCCTTCCTTCCATGTCTGTGACCCAGAACTGGGATGTTACTTCTTTTCTCTTGCTAAAAGAGAAGATATTAGATTCTCTTAACTTAACCAATGTGATTGAATTTTGCATAAAGCCAATGTAACAATTGAGTTAGATTTTCCTGTGCTTTGACTTCATTGTCTGACTTATAGTACTTGTGACAGATCAAGATTCAATAAACACTTTTTTAAAACAAATGTTATTTCTTTAATGGGTGATGCATCAGTACTGTGGATGTTCTCCTATTGTGCCTTAACCTTACGTACTCAAAGACCTTTGTGTTCATAGTTCTATCTGCATGCAAAATCCAATGGGTTTCAGTCTTTCTCAAAGACATGTTCCTGGTCCTTACAATTCCGCAGATTCCTGCTGCAACTTCAGCAAAAAAAAAAAACCCTCATACAACCTGTACCCAAAAAACCCAAATCAAGGCAGAGGTTGTTTTTCCCAATTGCATGCTGAAGCCTACTACTTTTACAAATGTGAATCATGATGAATTCCCCGTGGTGATGCAGAGTAGACATTCCATCTCTATCCTTGCATTTTCTGGTGCCTCCAGAAAGTCTTGTTTATCTTGACCAGTGGTTTAACCCTTGTGCTGCCAGGACTGAAGACCGACAGGTTGGAGGTTTGAATCCGGGGAGAGCGCAGATGAGCTCCCTCTGACAGCTCCAGCTCCCCATGCGAGGACATGAGAGAAGCCTCCCACAAGGATAGTAAAACATCCAGGCTTCCCCTGGGCAACATCCTTGCAGATGGCCAATTCTCTCACACCAGAAGCGACTTGCAGTTTCTCAAGTCACTCCTGACACGGAAAAAAAAATTGGGAAAAAAAAACAGAATCAGTTTTTGATCTGATTGGCTTTAATCAGAACTTCAACAGATGCATTTATGAAATCTGACAATTGTTTTACCATAAAATTGCTTACTCTTTCTCATTTGCTTAAAAACAGTGGCAGTTTAGAATCTGTAACACAATCCACCAAGAAATCAAAAACCAGGCACTTTGGGAAACAGTGGCCCCAATCCAGCTCAAGTTGCAATCAGCAACGCGTTGACAACCAACCGTTCCAGACATAGGAGTACATCCCAATTTACACACGCACAACCTACCTTTCTCTCATGCACACGCCCAGTTCAACGGGGCTCAGAAGAACATAATGACATGCAGCTGCTTTGGCAATTTTTCACAACTTTCTCCAGTTCCAACAAGGCAATTATCTTTCATTCCCTAACCCCAAAGGACAGACAGATTGACACATTCAGCTAATTCTAAAAAACTATTAAAATTTCACAACATTTTATATTATTTATACATATATTAAAAATGAGGTAAGACATCCTGCCCGGAGGAGGCATTCTGGACCCTCCCATCTCCCCAGCTCCCAAAGGTTCCTTTCCAGCTGTAGTGCAGGCTTTATTGCTCTGTCTTTGGATGGATGATGTCTGGCTGCAAGGTAGGCAGAGTCCTTTTGTTATTGCCTTTAATAGTGGCCAACAGGGCTGCAAGGTTTTGCTCCTTGTCATCATCCCAGGGTGCAACCCTTGGAGGCTAGTCTAGCAAGTGGGAGAGGTGGTGATGGGGCTGTGAAGATATGGAAGGCTGCCGGGAGTCGAACACATGGCCACTGAGACAGGGAAGCTGAAGACAAACTGGGAGGTCGGGGTGGAAGTGGTCTTCCCCCTCTCTCTTAATGTTCCCGAGGGGCTGGCAGCCTCAGCAGCACACGAAGTAGCCAGTACTTGGGACTCAAACTGAAGAAGCTGTCCCATGAAGCTGAAGTTGGGAGAGATGATGCTCCGGCGTTGCTTGACAAACTCAAAGGCCTCCTCGAGCTTCACGCGCTTCTTCATGATCAGGTAAGCTAAGCAGATGGTGGCCGATCGGGAGATGCCAGCTTGGCAGTGCACAAGGACCCGGCCTTGGCACATCTTCACAGAGTCTGGGGAGAAGACAGCAGAGCCAAGGCATCAGCATACACAACAGGTAAAGGCAAGGCTAGAGAAATCTTGACTGTAGCCTAAGCTTTGAGAGCACACATCACTGGCCACTGAAATCATTCATACTTTTCAGAGTAGTTTTGTGAGTTTTTGAAGCCAATTTACTCCCGGTTGTTGAAATGGTCTCAATATTGTGTGAACAATGCTCAGCAATAAGTGTTTGATTTCTCTGCCAGTTGTAAGAGATGCACTGAACTTTAGCTACTCAAAAAGTAAGAGTGAGCGCAACGGTTAAGAAAGGCAACGGTGGCCCTCCAGATGTTTTTGCCCTACAAGTTCTATCTTAGGGAGAGATTATGAGAAAGTCACAGATGGACGCTCACAGTTGCCTCCTTCTCATCTGTGTGTGTGTATGTCTTTCTGACACATTTACAGACAATTGGACATGCATGCCAAATTATCTACCTATACAGGTGTCAGAATTCAATTTTTGTTGTCAAATGAAACGGAATTTTATTTTATTTTTATTTGATGCATTATGGATCGCAGTTTTGGCGATCGCTAGGTATAAATATTAACTACTAGCCACCCCCAGCCATGCGTTGCTGTGGCCCAGTCTGGTGATCTGGAAAATAATGTAATGAGAAAGTGTTCGTTTCTAATATATGTAATTTCTTTATGCTTGTGGGCAAACAGTATTTCTTGTTGTTTTTTGTCAGTGTTGATGTAGAGATTGTCTGGTTTGCCTACTCTGGAACATGCAACATATAATTGTCCTTCTTTAGGGGCCCCTTTCAAGTCTATGATACTATATCTGTCATATACATGTGTGTGTGAATCATATATATCTATCTATATCTATGGCTGGATGGCTCTTTGTCAGGAGGGCAAAGATTAGCTGTCCCCTACCATATGTTGCTGTTGCCCAGTCTGTGTATACATGTGTCTTGTGTGTGTATATATGTGTGCATATATTTGTGTATATGTGTATATATATGGTTTTGCGCATGTGTTGTAATGCATTTTTTTGTTTTTTTGCTTTTTAAGTCTCTTCCGCTGTGTTTTTCAGTGTTTTTATAAGTAATGGTCACTCATTGGCCCGATAGGTGTCATGTGTCCAAATTTTGTGTCAATTGGTCCAGCGTTTTTTTATTTATGTTAATCCCACAAACGAACATTACATTTTTATTTATATAGATTTCATTTGCACTCTATTATTGGAGGAGTGCACTACCTAATGATGCTTCTCGGTTCAATGAAAAACCAAGTATCTTTTAAGAATGGTCTTTGATTTATACAAAGCCTCAATGTGTGGCAACTTCTTCACAAACAGAAATCACCCTTTCATTTGAAACCACAGGATCAATGCAAGATAAACATACATATGCAAAGTAGCCCTAGGGAATCTCTATGCCTGTCTACTGTTTTGCAAATACCATTCATGCTGCGGGAGCTATAGCAACAGTAAGCAATGGTAAGGGCTTCTTTCATCAGGCTTCAAGAAAGCACGTCTACCTCTCCAAATGGAGAACGGCTTCATTTATTCACCTTGTTTGGAACCTAATGCAGACCCACACACACATACCACACGGCTGCCTTTATATGACATGCACCAAGAGCTCTGGGAAATGTATTTCCCAAGACTATTGTCAGGTGCCAGTAGTTCTCAGACAACATTTTCCCCAGTGGTCCTGTTGCTATAGCAATGCACCAGGCATCTGGGCAGAGGTTTCTCTTTCTGTTCCAGCCAAAGCTGGAAAGGGAAAAGAAACAGGGAAAGGATGGAGGGGAGGGAAATCAAATTCTTCTATGCCTCTTATTTTATCACAAGTCTGAAGAGAGTTGGGACCACAATGCACAGAATAATTCAAGCTTTACTTAGTAATTCCCACCTGAACGCAAGAGAGACTAGACCTAGGGATTTATGTATGCATGTTATTATGTAATGCAAACTGTATCATGTTGATACCCACTTTCTGCACGAGCACCTTCTTTTGTAATGAAATTCCTAAGTCTAGTCTCTCTTGCTTACAAAAAGCAGGTGCTCACACAGAAAATGGGTATCAACATGATACAGTTTGTATTACATAATACCATGCATACATATAATATAATGGGGCTCAGTAACTTCCATTATAAGCAGATCTATATAAATAAAAATGTAATGTTCGTTTGTGGGATTAACCTAAGTCAAAAAACACTGGATGAATTGTCACAAAATTTGGACACAATACACCTATCAGGCCAACAAGTGACAGTCACTCATAAAAACACTGAAAAGCACAGCAGAAGGGACTTTAAAAACCAAAAAAGCAAAAAGATGCAGCAGTGCATGTGCAAAACGACTCCCCCAGCAAACAACACACAATAGCATATCAACACTTTTTTTCAGATCACAGCTCCCAGCATCCCCTAGACCAGTCCTTTTAGGAGAGGAGGATGATCCAAATGCACTGCTTCCAAGTTGCAAGCTTTCTTCTTGGATTTCCTTGAGAGCATCCCAATCCCTGCATATTTTCAAATTCCTATTTCTGGAGTGCAACTCCCAGCAATCCACCAGATAGATTAGATAGATAAGATAAGATAAGATAAGATAAGATAAGATAAGATAGAGGGAGAGAGGGGGAGAGAGAGAGAGAGAGATCAGGAGGACTGCTGAGAGTTACAATCCAAGAATAGGTAGAGAAGGAAGAAAGGAGAGAAAGCTAAAAGGAAAGAAAGAGGGGAAGGAAGGAAAGGGAAGGAAGGAGAGAATGAAAGAAAGGGAAGGAAGGGAAGAGAAAAAGAAAGGAAGAGAGAAAGAGGGAGGTTGGCCACAGCAATACATGGCGGGCGCAGCTAGTAAAGGTATAAAAGCTGTATTGTGAGCATGTCCATGGCCTGCTGGAAGGGAATGGGCCCAGGCAGGAAGATATACAAGTGACTTACTCAGCCTAAAGTGAACCACAAGGTGTAGCTTAGTGTGAGATGAAGGCTTGCTTTAAGGCAGCTGTCTTCAACCTGCGGCCCTCCAGCTGTGTGGGCCCCCAACTACTAGAAGTCCTAGCCAGCTTGTCTAGTGGTCAGGGATTATGAGAGTTGGGGACAAACAGCTGGAGGGCCACAAGTTGAAGAGACCTGCTTTAAGATCTTCCTCCAGTACTCATTTGCTTCAGAATTCAGAACTGGATTCCCCCACCATCCATGCTTTAGCTCCAAAAGCATCATACGTACCTATGTATTCAATTGCTTCCATGAACCAAGAGCTGATGTCAGTTTTGTGGTTATCTTCCACCGGAATAGACTTGTACTGAAAGTGTCCTTCAAAGTGGTTTGGGCAGTCTGATGAGACGTTCAACAAAGCTGTGATCCCCAATGCATCCAGCATGTCCCTCCTAGCGGCATGATGAGCACTACCCAGGAAGAGGAAAGGAAGGATTTCCACTGGGCCACCCTGATCATGGGAAAGAAGACAGAAAGAGCCATCACTATGAGATAAGGAGGGATATAGGAGATCCTGGGTGAGAAGAAACCTGGCCGGGGGGGGGGGGGGGGGAATCAGTGGAAAGAGCTGCAGTCCCATCCCCTCTTCCTCATTTCTTCTTTCAAGGAGGGCTTTTGCTAAGAACATTTTTAGGATGTTTTGTAGAAGCTCAAAAAGAAATCTAAATTTTGGCAGCAAGGCCATTTGCTGGGACAAGAAAAGCTGAGGCATGTGTCCATCATGCGTCATAAACATTAAGACAATGTGCCTATTTTGAGAGCTCATATGGTGGCGCAATGGGTTAAATTGCTGAGCTGCTGAACTTGCTGACCAAAATGTTGACTTTTTGAATCTGGAGAGCAGGGTGAGCTCCCTCTCTTAGCTGCAGCTTCTTCCAACCTAGCAGTTCAAAAAAATGCAAATGTGAGATCAATGGGTACCGCTTCGGCAGGAAGGTAATGGCGCTCCATGCAGTCATGCCGGCCACATGACCTTGGAGATGTCTATGGACAACACCGGCTCTTGGGCTTAGAAATGAGATGAGCACCACTCCCCAGAGTCAGACACGACTAGACTTAATGTCAGGGGGAAACCTTTACCTTTACTATGGAGAGCTGGTGGAAAAACAAGGAGTTGTTGTTTTTTTACTATTTGCCCTCTTTGAAGAGTTCTTCCTCCCAAGGTGCATCTCCACTGTAGAACAAATGCAGTTTAACACCTCTTTAGCTGCCATGACCCAATGCCATGAAGGCACCAGCACTCTTTGGCAAATAACACTAAAGCTACAGTGTACCCTCACTACTTTGCGGTTCACTTTTAGCAGACTTGCTGTTTTATGGGTTTTTGAAAATATTGATATAAATATTAAATATTTACATCCAGTGGAGGCCAGGGACCCCAGAAGTGAGGTGGCCTGAGGTACAGCTGCCTGTGTGGCTTTGGAGACTCTGCGGAGGCCAGGGAGGCAGGCAGGTGCCCTTGGGATGGGCTGGGAGGCAGGTAAGGAAGCGCGGGTAAGAAAATAATACATAAAATATATAAAATAATGTGTAAATATTAAAATTAAATGACGTCCCTACTTCGCGGATTTTCACTTATCTCGGGTAGTCCTGGAATGGAACCCCCGCAATGTGTTTCCATGTAGTCTCACTTTTGATCTACTGATTGTTTTGGACTTGCAACAATTCGGGGTTTCCCCCCCTATTTTTCTGCTTCCTTGAAACAAGAACCATAAAGGGTCTCAGGTTGGCAACCTCTATCCTGAATCATAGGAAAGTCACCAAACTCCTACAGACAGACACAAGTCATTTCCTCTGAAATGACAAATTGTGTCACTGTTGGCACACACCAGGATACCTACACATCGGAGTTAAGAATGTAGGGATAGGGCCAGCGGTCAGTTTTCTATCTGGGACCCCAATGACTATTACAAATCCCCCACCCTCAAAAAAAACCAGAAGAGCCCTGGAGCTCAAAATTCTGCTCTTGAAAAACAATGATCCTTTATGTAAAGTAGAGCAGGAGAGGAGCTATTTAAGTGGTGACCTGTTCCTCTTACTTTCCTTCCAGAACAGTAGTTCTCAACCTGTGGGTCCCCAGAGGTTTTTGCCTTCAACTCCCAGAAAACCTAACCGCTGGTTAAATGGCTGGGATTTCTAGGAGTTGGAAGCCAACACACCTGGGGACCCTCAGGTTGAGAACCACTGTTCCAGAAGAAAACTATTTTGAAGAGTTTGGAGGATCTGAGGGCCACAAAATATCCCCGAGAGCCAAAGAAGGAAACTTTGCCTATTCCCGTTCTTAGTGTTTGAGAACAACTTCAGGTTTAAATGGGGAGAATGACTGGAAACCAACCTGATCGTACTGCGGTGTCCCACAGGAACTGCAGCTATGCTCAAGACGTTCAATGGCGGCTGGCAAGGAAAAAGCGGCAGGCGATTTCATCTTTATACAGAATTCTGGATATTCTGCATGGAATCTCTCATAGCCACCTGAAAGAAGTAATAATTGCACCATATTACACTGCAGCACTATTTTAGGCAGCCACAAAATACTCCGTGGTAACACACATGATCCAGATCAATTAAGTCAGGTATTACAGGTCTCTAACTCCCACCAACTCCTCCAGCCTGTGTCTTTTCTGTCAAGAAGAAAAATAATCTCCAGCTTGAAGTCAAAGCCGGCTTTGGACAAGCAGTCAGATGTGGTATCAACTCAAAGCACAAATCAGAGAGCTGGGGAGAAGAGTCCTCCAATATCAAGGAAACACAACAAATGGAAGTGAAAAATGGAGGTACAAGCAGCAGGATCAAAAACCCTTCTAGCATATTACCTATTTGATTCGGGGGTTCAGCTGATAGACAAAAGAGCTTGTGGCCAAGCATGACCCAAATCATAATTAAGTTGTTGAGATATTGTCAACACACATGATCCAGCAGACTCCAAATACGATTAGTAAGAAGTTGCTGTAAGTGAACGTCATTTGCTAAACAAAATAGATGCAAAAATGATGTGAGCAGAACGGAAACAGCACTGCAAATCAAAAGGACATCCAGGGAATATCTCCCAGATTTGAACCACACAGAGGAGGGCACTAACCATTCAACAATTATTAAGGGACACTCAAAACTGAGGTAGCACCCTCTGAATCAATATTTAATCTCCAGCACTGGGACTCTCATACTCTGCCCCATGTAGAAGCAGATGTCACATATGACATCACACAGAAATCTTGGGAGGATAAAGACATGTTAGAGCAGCCAAGAGTGCACGGCTGTTGTGGATGGAGCAAATGCTATGCACTCTTGGCTGCTCTGAAATTTCCCAATCCTCCCAAGATTTCTGGGGCCGTGCCACACTTTAAATCAGTGGTTCTCAACCTGGGGGTCAGGACCCCTGAAGGGGTCGCGAGGGGGTGTCAGAGGGGTCGCCAAAGACCATCACAGATAGTATTTTCTGTTGGTCATGGGAGTTCTGTGTGGGAAGTTTGGGCTAATTCTATCGTTGGTGGGCTTCAGAATGCTCTTTGGTAGTAGGTGAACTATAAATCCCAGCAACTACAACTCCCAAATGTCAAGGTCTATTTTCCCTGAACTTCACCAGTGTTCACATTTGGGCATATTGAATATTCGTGCCAAGTTTGATCCAGATCCATCATTGTTTGAGTCCACAGTGCTCTCTGGATGTAGGCAAACTACAACTCTAAAACCCAAGGTCAATGCCCACCAAACCCTTCCAGTATTTTCTGTTGGTCATGGGAGTTCTGTGTGCCAAGTTTGGTTCAAGTCCATTGTTGGTGTAGTTCAGAATGCTCTTTGAATGTAGGTGAACTATAAATCCCAGCAACTACAACTCCCAAATGTCAAGGTCTATTTCCCCCAAACTTCACCAGTGTACATATTTGGGCATATTGAGTATTTGTGCCAAGTTTGGTACAGACCCATCATTGTTTGAGCCCACAGTGCTCTCTGGATGTAGCTGAACTACAACTCCCAAACTCAAGGTCAACGCCCACCAAACCCCATCCTCCCACCAATCCTCCCATCCCAACCCCACCATTATTCAAATTTGGGCATATTGGGTATTTGTGCCAAATTTCGTCCAGTGAACGAGAATACATCCTGCATATCTGATATTTACATAACGATTCATAACAGGAGCAAAATTACAATTATGAAGTAGCAACGAAAATATTTTAATGGCTGGGGGTCACCACAACATGAGGAACTGTATTAAGGGGTCGCGGCATTAGGAACGTTGAGAACCTGCTTTAAATGGTGTGTATTCCACCAAGAATCCAGAGGTCAATGATAACAAATGCAAAATAATATGTGAACTGGCTCCATATTTTCAGAATTCTCAAGGGGCCATTTGGCAAGGCATGGCTTCACATTTTCCTAACAGCAAATTTAATTATGGAAGGTGCTCCATCACCAGGCAGGAACAGAGTTTGCATCTATGTCAGGGTTTTGTTCCCCATGTTGAGAAACCACAAGTCACTTCTGGTGTGAGAGAATTTGCCGTCTGCAAGGACGTTGCCATGTGTTAGCATCCTGTGGGAGGCTTCTCTTATGTCTCTGTATAGGAAGCTGGAGCTGACAGATGGGAGCTCACCCCGCTACCCGGATTTGAACTGCCACCTTTCAGTCAGCAGTCCTGCTGGCACAAGTGTTTAACCCATTGCACCACTAGGGATTCCATTTACATCTGGTTGCCTCTGTGTTTAGTATGTGGGTTGCTGTAGCTGCCAAACAATTAAATGTAGGCTAGGTGAAACTCAAGGTTGGCAAAATAGCCTATTCAAACTACAGTATGTTGGAAATTTCTGACCATGCCCCTGAATTTCCCTTCTACCTAATTTTTACCACTTTCACCCATGGCCTCCACGTGGGATTGAAATGTATGTCAAGAAATGAAATGCCAATTTGTAGGAACAGAAGTGCAACCACCATCCATATGTGTGCATATGCGCCTTCAAATAGCCTGCTGACTTATGGTGGCCTCGAGAATTTCATATGGTTTTCTCAGGCAAAGAATAGCTCGGTTTTGCACGTTCTTTCTTCTGAAGTGTAGCCGACAGCACCTGGTAGTCAATGGCAGTCTCCTACCCAAATACTCACCAGAGCTGACCCTGTTTAGCTCCAACTGCTTAATCAGAAATCAGCTCCACTTAAGTTTACTGAAACTAGCCTTCAGGTTAGTTAAAACCAAAGGGACAATTCAACAACAAACCTATACTCTTTAGTATGCAGTGAAACAAATCAAGTACAAGGGTTGAATGAAAAGTAATGCCTCCACCTTTGTAACTCCTAAACAGATGGCAGTACTGGTATGCGGCAGGTACTGGCTTGTTCAGTAGACTCTCTCCTACAGTTCCATTTTGGCGGGAAAACTTAGCATTGAATGTTGTGTTGTTAAAGTGTGAAGTATGGAACCCTGCGCAGACGATCGGTCAATGTGACTTAAGCAATGTGCAGTCATTGAATTCTTGACAGCAGAAGGTGTCACAACAAAGGAGATTCATCAGAGAATGCAAGCTGTTTATGGTAATTGTGTTGATGTGAGTACTGTGCGTCATTGGGCGAGTAAATTTAAAGATGTTGAGGTGGGACATCTGACTTGCATGACAAACAAAGAGTTCGACATCCTGTGACAGCAACCACCGAGTTTCACAAGCAAAAGGTTGACAGATTGATTCAGGATGATCATTGTATCACTCAGAGAGAAATTTCAAGCATAATCGGCATTTCACAAGAACGTGTGGGTCACATTATTGCTTTTCTTGGCTATTGGAAGATCTGTGCACAATGGGTACCCAGGATGATGACGCCTTAAATTAAAGCGCACAGACTTGAAACTTCAGAGACTGGATCTCACCACCATACAACATCCTGCATACAATCCAGATTTAGCACTGTCTGACTTTCATCTGTTCCCGATAATGAAAGAAGATCTGTGGGGACATCATTATGCTTCTGATGAAGATGTTGAGAGAACTGCGAGATGCTGGTTGCAGAAACAGAGTGTTGACTTCCGTGACGGCTTCAGAAAACTTGTTCATCATTGGCAGAAATGTATCTAATTGTCTGGTGATTATGTGGGAAAGTGAATAGTGGTAGTTAAAGATCTAAGGATTATTTCTGTGTTTGGTTTATTAAAATATTCCCATCCAAACCCAAGTAACAAAGGTGGAGGCATTACTTTTCATTCAACCATTGTACATTAGATCGCAGTGTTAAATTACACACAAAAGTGCTTTGTTTTTTGTTGCTGGCAAGAAATCCTGTTCGCTTGTGAACCTTGGAGATAATAGAAAGAACAGTTCATATCCCAAGACAGCAGCACTCTAAAGCTTCTTTTTAAAAAGAAAACACAATTTGAAATGTTGTTGCATGCCTTCAACGTCTGGCGGCCTTAAGGCGAACCTATCACAGGGTTTTGACAAGATTTGTTTTTGGGATTTGCCTTTGCCTCCTTCTGAGGCTGAGAGAATGTGACTTGCTCTAAGTGGATTTTCATGGCTGAATAGCGCTCCAAACCCTTGTCTCCTGAGTTGTCGCCCAGCAGTCATGCCACTACATCATGCTAGCTCTCATTTTAAGCAAAAGAGACTTTGTAATATTATGTTCCAAAGTTTCAAAAGACAACGCTGCATCTGTCTAATCAATGAACCAGTTATTGCCACACACACACACACACACACACACACAAGCCAGTCCCATGCACACCCGAACTCTGCTTTGGAAGCTTAGGGACCCTGTTGAACAGACGTAAGGGTGGCAAGATGCAGCAATATGGAAGGAAGGGATTTTTTTCACACAAGCAGACTCTGACTATTCTACCCTGAGACAAACTGAATTTCTGCACCATAAATACATTTTGCAAACTAGGCCAAATGGACTGTCATTTTGTCAGAAGAGAACACTCTCAGGCATTTTCAGCGGGCATTGCCTAGAAGGCACTTAAAAGTATAATGTCTGGGTGAATATAATCCAGATTGAGACGAACACTGCCCAACACACATTTTGGTGTCTCCAATGTTAGACATGTTTCTGGGTATGTTTGACCTTCTGATTCCAAAAATGGCAACAGTTCCCACCTATCAGTTCTAGTTTTTGAGATACAGAACATATGCTATTTAGCAGTCTTCATTTATTTTTATTTATTTATTTACTGCACTTGTAGACCGCCGTTCTCAGCCCTAAGAAATCATGATAACCATATTTAAGAAACTAGACCTGATGTGCTCTATACAATACAATTTTCTGAATCTGCCCTGAGTAAGCCCAGGAACAGGTGAGAAACCAAGACACCAAGAAAATATTATTATTATTTTACTGACACAAAAACACAGTTTGTCACAGCAAACGAGATATGTATGTTGGATTTCGTATCACAAGTCGAACACTTCCCAAGCGTCTAGGACTGTGTGATGTGTTCAGATCCAAGTAAGGAGGTCTTTTGTAGTTGACAGATCATGATTTGTCAATGT